CCTTCTTTGGATGCTTTCTCATAACTCTGTTTTATATTGTGGCACCAAAACTGCACACAGCACTTGAGAGTGCACCTTGTGGGTCCTTTTGGATTGCAGCTCATTGTCAGTACAAAGTAACATACTCTTTATACATTATATAGATAAATAGTAAAATTATGTTATTTTCACAAATATGTGAAATACATTTTTATGAATAAGACCTATACATTTTGTACATCATAAATTTGTCTGTGTCCTCTGGAAGATTTGCTTTAGAAATTGTTCAAGAAGGATGGAGATGTCTTCTGTTTTTCACAGATTATTTTACATATTGCAGAGTTTAGAAAGAATGTGTAACTTTTGTAATATCAGTGCTAATGGCTCTGATGTAAATCTGCCTTGAAATGGGATAAACTGCATTCAAAACTATATTGAGCCCTGAAAACCAAGAGCTGGGCACCACAAAAGCAGCATTTCAAGCAGGCCTGAATAAATGAAATAGAGTATGGCAGAGTATTGGGAATCATCTGCTGGCTTGTGGACAAATACACACTCCATCAGGAAATCCTGCCTTCAAGCCAGTTTTGCTGCTCTGCTGGTGAAGTGACAGCTGGACCCACGGGGTTATTTGTGCCTCTGGCAAGGAGCTTAGAAACAAGGCTGCAGGCAGGTTTCAGATAGCTGTGAGCTCCAGGCTCTAAGTGCTGAGTTGCACATCCAGCCTCCGCCTGGCAAGGGCAGAATTTTATTTTCAGTTCTGTTGAGATGTAGGTGCACAACCCGACTGCCTGGCTTTAGGCAACTGTGCAGCTGTGGTGACCCTGCTCCCCAAAAATGCAAGGAAAAAAGGGATAAAAGGAATGCAGCAGGAGCTTGTGCTGGTTTGTTCTGGGAGAAGGTTCCCCCTGCCCCTGCCCCTTTAATGCTGCCTTACAGTCGCATGCTGGGAATATTTGTTGCATATCCGCCTAACTGCTGATTGACATATACAAGACAATAAACTTAATTAGTTAAAATCCCCTGTGTTCTGATTGACTGCCAATGTCCAAAGTCCACCTGGAAGGACGTGGGAGATAACGTTTGTAAGGCAAGGCTATCTGGGCTTGCAGAGTTATTTTTTCAATTAATTTCTGCCTAAGGATTGGCTGTGATACTTATCCACTGGCAAACCTAGTTTCAGATTTCAGCTTTAAAATATAATTGGCAGCTCAGCAAATTCATAAAATTGATCCCCATTCACACTTATTTTTGGCTTGCGTTAAGAATGTGCCAACCTGGAACTCTAAACTTAACCCCGAGTGACTTTCCCTGGGCTGCTGCCCTGAAAGGAAAGCCTGGCAGCAGCGCCTGGGCCCCGGCCAAGATAAATCCTGAGCCGCCGATGGCAGGGCAGCCACAGCTTGAACTGCAGGTGAGGGGGGCAATAAAGAGATGGAATAAAGGGTGGATTTCTTAAAATGCCCCCTTTCTGAAACCTGTTTTTCTGCATTAGTCTCTCACTGCTCCACAGCCTGACGCTGCTGCAGCCTCTAAGCGCTGCTGTGTGCCCTGCAGGGCAGCCTGAACACGAGCCGCAGGCTGAAGCCGGACGCGTGTGGCTGGATAACACCGCCGCGTTTCGGGCCGCAGGAGGCAGCAGAATGGGCTCGGCCGGGGCGATGGAGCCTCCCCCGCGGTTCCTTTCAGCCTGCGGAGCCCGCGGTGCGCAGTGCCCGGCGCTGCCGCTCCCGAGCGCGGCTCCTGCTGCCGGGATTTCCCCGAGTGGCCCGGCCTGGTGTCACAGCCGGCCTTGGAGGGCAGAGCCTGCTTCTGCTGCTACCACATTGACACCTGGTGGTGGCTCGGCATCGTGGCTTCTACAAATACGTTCTCGGTGCGTGTCCTGGTGCGTGTCAGCTGCGGGATGTTCCCCAGATGCTTCCATTTGGCTGTGGGCAAATCCAAACTTTAGAACATCCAAGAGCAAAGTGCAGAGGCTGACCTAAACCAGCGTCTCCCAGATAGCATCCCCAGTTGCTTATCGATATCATGGAAGATGAACAGAAATAACAGAAATAACTTATTTTTTTCTACTAATGTAGAAAATTGGATTCTCTGCCCTTTTTTTCCCATAATATTGTTTATTTTACTTCAATTTAAACTGGTATTCATCTTTTTTTCACCTTCTGCAAGGCTTAAATATGACCTGGGGAAGATGCTCCAAAGATTTAAAGATCTTCCATCTGCTTCTTTAAGTGAAGCCAGGGCTCCAAATCCACCACATGTCATACATTACGTTATGAACAAAAGGATATGCAGACGCTGAAGTTCTCCGAGAATGTTTCCCTGCTGGAAATAACATTTTTACAAGCTTCTGTATTCGCTTCAGCCTCTTCCTAACAGGACCTCCTGTGGGGAGAACTCAGTATTTCTCATTCTGATGATGGTTTTGAGTAACACTTATAATTGTCTGCCAATGGCTGTGTATATTTTGGCAATAACAAATCTGCTTCCCTGCTAAATTTTCCTTAGCACCACTTTTGGAGTGGTGGAGGGGTAGACTGCAACCTTTGCCAGGGCATCATGGCAGTTCTTAGGATTTAGATTTCCCTGTAGCTGGAGAATGTGGTATTATTTAATGAAGTGCATTTTGCTGTTTATGAGTTCAAGTGGTAAAAGCCACCACATTCCTCTGGGCTTCTCCTGCTGCCCCCCTTGGCAAGCCTTGGCTGTTCTTGTAGGCAGTTGTGGTCTCTGCACAGCTTTCTTCCCAACCATGCCAGGAGAACTTTAATTCCCGTAGTAAAATAAAATCTAATCTGGAAACAAAATCACCAGACAGTGAAGTTATCTTTGTCTTGACTTTGTGTTCAGTGTTGTAGTTCATTTGGTTACTACAGCTGATACTGCTTCTTATTTAGCACTTTTCTCAGTTGTTTGGAGTCTCTGCAGATATTAAATTACAGATTCTAAATTCAGCAAGCTGAGAGCCACAGGAGAGCTGGGCCTCTTTGCTCACTCTTGCAAGCGTGCAGATGGGTGGCAGACACCTTTTTCAGTCTTACTCTGCACAGCAGTTCCTTTCCAAGGTGTGTGACATTCAGTACTAGCTTCTTCAAACTCTCTATTCATTAATTCTATTTAATATATTTTTGTTCTTTTCTTGAGAAAATCTACTTGTTTGTTCAGTGTGGCATTTTTTATGCCATCCATATTTTGCTCCCTGCTCCTAGTTTATGTTTTTCTTCTGCCATCAAGTGTGCTGATGCCCATTTGTCTTCTGTATGGAACCAGCAGTGTTAGTAATTCCCTTCAGTGCCCAAACTAGGGAATTGTAGGTGCAACGGAAATCCTGAGCCCAACAAGGCTGGGAGAAGAAGTGGAAGATGAGGAAACTTTGACTCGGGGAAAGAGGAGGAGCTGGCAGTGTGGTTAGGGTGAACAGTCCTGATGCCACCATTCATGCACATCTTTCCTGACGGCACTGAAAGCCCTGCCAGCCCTGCAGGGGCTGTCCTGACTCTCTGCTCGCTGCCTCTTGTGTGCTGTCCCCACACATGGCTGTGTTCACTCTCTGCTCTGCTCCACTTCCACGGCTCTTTGGGCTGAATTTGCGAAGTCAGCACATCAGCACATCTCAATAAAGAGCTCCTCTGAGCCTGCTGCAAGACTTCAAGGCAGTGAGCCCAGCTGGGGGTGGAGAAGGGATGTGGCTAAAATACTATAAAATATCCCTTTGCTATCAATTGCAAGTCATAGCACTTAATAATGCTAATGGTGCTGTAATATTAAACTGTAATATTAAACTCTTCTCAAGCATTCAGAGCATCCCAGTCCCACCAGTGCATGGGAGATAGATCCCACAGCAGTCCTGTGTGTACACAAGTGAGTGCAAAGGTCTGTCACACTTGCTGAAGTACAGGCCTTGTTCTTCCCAACATTTTTTAAGGCAGAGAGAAGTTGTGTTCTATTTTGTTTCTGTGAGTAGTTCAAATATTTGCTTATAAATTGTGCCAGCTCTTGTGGGAACTGAGTTAAAATATTATCAAAACTTCTCAGAATAGTTGGCAAATACAAGTGTTTGATACCCAGCAAGATTATCTGCTTTATAGACTGTTTTGTGGCATTAATTCTTATGGTACCTCAGCTCAGCACATTGATAGGCTTGTCACCCATGTTCTGTGAAGGAGGGAGTTCTGTATTTTAGAAGAGGTGGTGGGAGGTGCATTGAGGTGCCCAGGACTGTAAAGAGCACCCTCCTTCCCCCTTCTTATGCTGAGGAGCAATTGCAGGGCTGACCCAAGACTTCCCAGTGAAATATTTGTGTTTAGTTTCCCTAGCCCCTTGCAAGGGAGGGTGTCTCTGGCTTTCTGCCCTTTTGGGAAGGGCTGTGTGTAGAGAAAGTAAGAGGATTTTTTCTCTGGGTCTTTCTTTTTTTTTACCTTTTTTTTCTGACTTTTTTTTTCTTAAGATGAACTTGGCAACTCTGTAAATCTCCCTTGGGAAAGCAGCCCATCTCCCAGAAGATTGCTCTCAGTGCTTCCAGCTTCTTCTAAAAGAGTCTTGACAACCAAACAGCAAAGAACATCAAGGGCTTTCTGAGCCTGTTAAGATTTATGGGTTCATTTGCAACTTGGCAGCGAGAGCTGGCCTCAGATGCATCTCAGCAGAGACACCAAATAGCAACAACCTCTTACCCCCTGTCCAAGAGCTGCCGCCTCCTTTCTGTTCACAGCCCTTTCCCTTGCTCCAGGGGCTGACAAAGGCAAATAGAAATCCCTGCTCTGGAAAGTGCAAAAGGCCCTGCAGCAGGAGCTCCTGAGCCCCATGTGCTTGTGCTGTTGGAAACAGGGAAACACTCCCTGTTTTCCGTGGGCTCCTGGCCAGCAGCAGAGTTCCTCCCAGGCAGTGACACAACGCTGCTGCTGAGCTGCCCTTCCAACAAAATCCCCATGAGAACAAACCCTCTGGTGAGCACAAGAGCCAAGAGAAATCAAGTTCTGTTTAGCACCAAAGTCTGATTTATTTTCTCAGACACTTTCTCAGCAGAGTGCACATTCTATGTATTTTACAAAAAGATTCCTCAGTAAATATGACAGAAATTAAAAGGAAAAAAAATTAAACATTGAGAGGGTTTTGAGCAACCACCAAATTCCTGTGCATCCTCAAAGGAAAAGGAGAAAAGTTCATGCACATCTCCAGCAAGCCAAGGGCACCATGTAAAGGCAGTGTGCCAATTTTTCTATGGATTTTTAAATGCTTTGTGTATTGAAATATGTAACGTGCATGCCAGACATGAAAATTAATGTTGACATGTACAGTTACATCCTGCTCCTTTGCTGTGTGTGTGTTTTCTGAATGCTGCCATTTGGGACTTGCTTTGTTTCGGTGGAAGGTATTTTTCCACTCAGCATCACACTTTGTTTTTGTTTTCTGAGGGATATCGCAGAGAATTTTTTCCATAGTTTTGTTTAAAGTCAGCTTCTAATCCTTATGTAATATGTAGTGGTTATAAGCCATTCCAACAATCCATAAGACATATGGAAAATACTGTCACATTCTATGAACAGAAGTCATACCTCCAAAATCCAAACTGATGTTTCTTGGAGCCAACCACAGGGGCATAAGAAATTGAACAGACACAGTATACTTATTTTCTGCAGATTCTTCAAAAATCATCATCAAAAAAAAAAAAAAAAAAAAAAAAAAAAAAAACCAAAAAACCAAAAGCGGGTGGTGGTTTCCAGAGGGAAACAGGTAAAACTATCACAGCTTTCAAAAAATTAATAATTCATAAGTGATAATGTCACTACAGGTAAATTACTGCTACCTTTGCAAAAGCAACAGAATTCCAGCTTCTCATTGAGGACTGTGTTTAATTCCTGTCTGGAACTAACAACCCTGTACTTCAGAGAAATGGGATACTGCAGGGTCAGAGAGCTTGAAAATCCCACCTGAATGTTGAAGCATCAGTTCTAAGACAACTGGGGGAAAAAAACCCAAACAAAACCTAAACAAAACCACAACAAAAAACCCTCACCACCTAAGTAAAACCCAGAAAATAAAGACATTATTGAGAACAAAGTGTTATAGATGAACATTTTATAATGCGTTAAAACATTTTTAAAACATGTCATACTGACATACTTAAACTTTGGTATAATGCCAAAAACCCTTCAGGATCAACCTTCCTAATTGAATTGAACCTGAAGCATTTGGTGGAATAATGCAGAGATTAGCAGCTTTACAGCTTACTAAAAATCAAACATGTTCTAACAGAACAGAGTTTACTGTATAATTGCATTATGGGGCCACATTTGGTAATTAAGGGTTAAGTCAACAATAGGTTTCTTATTCAATACAGGAGAGACTTTTAAGCTGCTTTTTTTTTTTTTTAGCATCATCTGGACTTCTGGATTTTTTTAAATTACCAGCCCCGAGCCCTCAGTCTACACCAGGACTTGAATTGAAGATGACTTTCCTGATTTGATTTATGCTGTGTGCATCCCCTTTCTGAGAAATGTACCTGTGTCTTCCTTCAGGAGCTCTGGAGCACCTCCAGCCCCTCTGCCAGCGGTTCTGTGTGAGCTCAGCATTGCTTTAGAAGCACGAGATGCAGCTCTGAAAGCTCACTGGCAGCGGGTTGGGCTTGAACCAGGTGATGACAGGGACCCAGAGCTGCCTTCCAGCAGAGAGCACAGCCCCGTGCTGGGGGAACAGGCCAAATCCCCTTCTGTGCTGGCTGAGCAAGCACGGCTCTTTTATGGAAGTTGAAGCACAGGTTAGGACTCTAAAAACACATCGAGTGTTTTAGGGTGTTAATGAAAATCTGTGCCATCCTCAATCCAGGCACCAGTGAGGCTCAAATGCTGACAGCCAAGTAACCCTGAGCCCTCCTGTTCTCCTTCAGGGGAGGTGGAATGCAATCCCACTGCCGTGGATGACAGCTTTGCCTTGACTTGATGCTTATACCTGGAGCAGCTGTAATCCTTGCCACAACACCCTCTAAAAACAGTTAGTTAAGCCTCAGAATAGCATCTTCTTGCCCTGGGACTTGTGCTTTTTGGGAATGGTTTGCTCTGGAGGTTTCACAAGTTGCTGTGTCTTTGAATCATTAAAGTCCAACAGGCAATATCATAGAATCACAGAATTGTTTGAGTTGGAAAGGACATAAAAAATCCTGCAGTTTCAACACCCCTGCTGCCATGGGCAGGGACACCTTTCATCAGACCAGATTGTTCAGGACCCCATCCAACCTGGCCTTAAACACTTCCAGGGATGGGACATCCACAATTTCTCTGAGCAAGCTCTGTCTCACCACCCACACAATTAAGAATTGCATCCTGAAATCTAATCCAAACCTACCCTGTCTCAATTTGAAGCCATCCCCCTGTGTACTATCACTGGAGTTCCTGATTTAGAGTCCCTCTCTGGCTTCCTTGTAGACTCTCTTCTGATGCTGGAAGGTTTTTATGAGGTCTCCATGCAAACTTCTCTTCTGCAGGCTGAACAGTCCCAGCTCCCCGAGTTTGTCTTCATAGGGGAGGTGCTCCGGTCCCCTTATCCTGGATACTGGGGTACAAAGTCATGACCTGGCTCATCCCACCGTAAGGATAAGGGGAGCAGGGCTCCCTGTGCATGTTTATTTGCCGGGCAGAGGGTGGCCTTGCAGCGGGGGTGGGCCAGAAGTCCCTGTAAGAGGCATCGGGGTAAGCATGGGATTTCTGGAATAAGCCTGTTCCCTTGCTGGGCTCCAAGGACAAGGGCTGTCCCGGGGGCTGGCTGGGGATACAGGGCTGGGGCTGGGGCTGCCCGTACGGGGGAAGCCCGTGGGGGGACAGAGCCGTGCCCTGCGGCACAGGAGGGCGCTGGGTGTGCAGGGCCTGCTGGTGCCGAGCGCCGTGAGGGAAGCAGCTCCTGCGGCCTGCTCCGTGCCCGCCATGGCGCTCCTGGGCCCAGCCGCGCTCCGGGCACAGCCCGCCCTGCGCCCTGCCCTGGAAGGGACAGCGGGGACAGCCGGGGCACTCCAGGGCCTCGGGGTGATGAAGTGCGAGCAGCTTGTGCCTGAGGCCGTCCATGACCGCCGTGTCCCCAGAGGTGCACCAGGACCAGCCGCAGCCGTAGGTGTCCTCGCTGATGGACACTGCCGACATCTTCTCCAGGAGCGGCTCTGGCTGAGGCAAGCACTGCTCCAGCCGCAGCTCAGAGCCGGGACTGCTGGGCCAGGCCCGGAATGTCTGCTCCGAGCAGCTCCCCTGGGCCCTGCCTGGGCAGCGGGAAGGCCCGGAGCAGCCTCTGGCTGCCCGCAGAGCTCCTGGGCAGGCACCGCACGGTGAGCACTGGCCCCTCTCCTCCTCTTTCCCCTTTGTTTTGGCCCTGAGCTCATCAGCAACTGAAAGCTGAGCTTGATGCTGTCTCTCTGGATGGTAAAATTTGCATTTATTGCCATAGGTGCATTTTTTACCTGAAAGGATAAAAACAAATCAGACAGGAAGTTGTCACTAGCACCAACATCAATCCACGCACACATCACTTCTCCCCAGCACTGGGTGCGAGGAGCGCAGAAAAAAGAGGAAGTGCTATTTTCAAACTCAGTACGGTTGACTCCAGATTTAAATATTGCTGATATTAATAGCAGGGTGAAGCAGCAGTGAAAGGAAGTCTCTGCTATTTTGGAGGCATCTGATGTTCATGTTTCAGTTCCTGCACTCAGTGGGCTGGGAGGTCTGCTACCATGAAAGGTGGCTTTAAAAAATAGCATAGGGAATTTCCTCTAAGAAACTTGCATGTTTCTGGGGGGCTGTGGGGAGGGGAGAGAGGGAGAGTGTTTGGATGGCCATTCCCAAGTGCTGCAGCAGAATGCACCCCACCAAGTGAGAAGTGTGTGTGGGCAGGACAGTCAGCACAGCCACAGAGCCTGTGTGTGCTGTGTGCAGGAAAGGATGGAGGGGCCAGAAACATCTGCTGCCTCTGCTGAGGCTGGAGTCACTCAAGCAGGAGGGGGGAAAAGCATCACACCTTTGAGCAACCCCAACCCAAGTGCCTACCACACCAAGCAGGACAGCACGTGGCAGTGGCCCCTAGCCGAGGGAAAGCACTGCTGGGAAGCAGGAGACAGGTCACAGCATGGGGAGAAACTCACCGTAAGGGCAAGACTGCCATTTTTTCTCAGGAAGCACTGGCTTTTTGCTGAGGAAGTTACTTAAGGTGGGTCCATGCCGGCCTAATGGATCATCGGGAGGCATAAACCTGGAAAAGTAAAAAAAGCCATGGGTGTAAGCACATGTCTGTGCACACTGGATGTCTCAGTGAAGTGCATTTCCCCTGGACACCTCAGCTATTAGGAAACTGGGGAGAGAAGACAGGTTAGTATGAAGAGACTGAGAAGCACTCAGCTCAGCCTCGCAGGTGTGGTGGGAGAATGAAAACCTTCTCTCAGCAGGGATGATGAAGGGCCAGAGACCAGCTCCTTGTCTCTTCTAGCAAGCTACAACTGCAGAAACACAGGGAAAAGCCCTATTTTGTTGTGTAGGAGTATTAAAAATACTGCCAACCAGCCTCCTCTCATGGATTTAATTCTGCTTCTTACAGGAAATAGAAATTAGAATATACCAGTCCTTGGTTCAACATCACAAATTGGATTGGAAAGATGCAAAGCTGGTCACTGATGCTGCCATTCAAGGAGGAAAGTTCATAGAAGAGTGACATGGGAGGTTTTAAGGCCAAAGCTGAGGGAGTAGGACACTCAAGAAACAAGATAAGAAAAGCTGCAGTAAATTCCTTTCATAAAAAAGCTCGTGTGTTCTGCTACTGATGGGAGGCACTCTGATGCTGGAGATGACTTGGCCCATAATGTTTAAATTCTAAATTTATTTAATTTAATTTAAATAAATTTAAACATTGTGTTCTGCTACTGATGGGAGGCACTCTGATGCTGGAGGTGACTTGGCCTATAATGTTTAAATTCTAAATTGTATAACACCATCATCTCTTACCTGTTACTGACAAAAGAGTACATGAGCAGTCGCTGCTCAATGAACCATTTCCACTCGGGGTTCTCATTTTGGAGATCCCGGTAGTGGTCATTGGAAACAATGACTCCGTCCCTCTCATAAGCAACTTTCACTATGTAGCGATCGTCGTAGCAAACCACCCTCTTGCCTTTCACCTTCCGAGAGGGTGTGTACACCAGGATGGATTGCTTCTCCAGCTCCTCAAGGATGTGCTGGTCTGGTGGGAGGATTGGCAGAAGTAGATGAGGGATGCAAAAAATAAAAGAGAAACGAATTAATTAATTATGACCAGGTCTCAACCATCTGCTAGGAACCTACAGGAATCTAAAGATATTTCAGCACTTTAGGAAACTCATGGTCCAGTTTTCAAATGCAGTGATATCTGGTGGTTATTTGGCAATTTGAAAATGAGGTCTTTTACAAAGAGGTTTTACCTAACCTGTAAATTTTGAGACACCCTTTTTTTGATTTTTAAGTGTTATCTGTAAAAGAGTGCCTTGAATTCTACACCAGAGTCTGATACTGAATCCCTGCAGTGCCCTTTTTACCCTGCTAGATGCCAGAAGGCTCATAACCAGCCCTGATGGAAGCTTTACATGGAGATAAAATGTGTGTGATAAAATACATAAATAAACTTCTTTTGCTGCTGTTGAGGACACTCTGACCTCTTGCCATTCCTTCTCTGCAGGAAGGCAGACCTGCCTCATCTGCACACACCAAGCTGCTGGTACAAGGCTGGCTGACTTCCAGACAAACTATCATTCCCCACAAACTGAGTCTCACTCCCCCCCACAGATTTCTGCTGATGCATTTTCTTCTCCTGGAAGGGGAACCCATGCACCCTCTGTGTTGGGTAGCAGGCTGGCAGATAATAGTCATGCAGTAATGAACATCACTGTCTCCTGGCAGGCCTCAAAGGCTCCATAGACTCATTGAAAGCTGACAAACTCCTTCTTTAACTCAGCTTGGCAGCACCTTGTGCTTGTTAAGCAGAAGGTTTAAAGCAGTGTAACAAAGCCTTGTAAGCAGTTTTAGCTGCTAGCCAGGAGCACTGAATGGGGCAATGAATTAATGACTCATTTAAGTGAGGGAAGCCTGATACACAACTTGTACTGTGCTTGTCTTTACAGGAAAAACAACTGTACTGGGTTTCTCAACACCCCTCTGCCTCCAAACTGCTCCTAATGGCTGCCAAGTGACACCCAGGATGGTGACCTACCTGCAATGGGGCTCTCTTGTCGAGGGGGTTCCTTTCTCCAGAGTGGGACAAAAACCTTGATGTAAGTGTGCCCCCTCTCTCGAAACCAATCCACCGCCAGCTGGATCCCCCAGCAGGAGAACACCTCCTTGTTTCCATGACTGTAAAGAAAGAGAGAGGATGATGAGGCAAAGCTTTCATGAAGCTTAGAGTTCTCTTTAACTGAGCCAGTAATGAAAAGGCAAAATAAACAGCTTTTGTGTCATTCACCAGTTTCCAAGTAAACAACTGGCAGGGTGTTCTGGTGGGAGAGATCCAAACACCTCCTCCAGCAGAGCCAAAGATTTATATGAAACAGTTTGGATACTTAAAAACAGAGGTATCCTATCCCCCATTTCTGTGACCCAAACCTACTCCTTCCATCTGTATCTGGATGGACTTAAGTTCTAAAGTACCAACAAGATCTTAGGCCTTGTCAAACCCTTCATGGTCCTCGTGTGAATAAGGATTGAGGGGTGAGAGTTTCTTCCTGCACAAGCAGAAACCCATGAGGGTCCTGTGAGAAACAATATTGTGGGAATTTTCTTCTGTGGTAACAGGGCCATTGGAGATTTTAATGGCTGAAGTGGCTGCAGGTGTGATCACAGGGCACTCCACTGGGTGAAGAAAAACTGTAAGAGGCGGGATAGGAAATATAGAGAACCAAAAAAGGGACAAGACATCAGTGGAGATGGCTACAGGCACCTCAGGTCCACTTTTGTCTTGCTCTAGTTGATGGATCTTTTCTTCATTGCATAGAGAGGTAGGATAGCCCTAAGACAAGTGTTCTAGAAATGCCAGCAAGGTGGGTTCTGAAGAATTCAATACGCAGCATAAGACAGAAAATAACCTCAAGGAAAACAGCTGGGGGTGACATCCTTCTAAATGTCCCACCTTCCCTCAAAGTTCCTGCTACTTGGCATTCACTTTTTGAAAATTTTTGAAAATTATAGCTAATAGTAAATACTTTTTTACTATATTCTAATTTTACAGTGTATGTATAAAGGAAGATAGTTTATTAATTACCTCTGCACAAGGAAAGTAAAATTTAAAAATTAATTAATTAAATTAATTAATTTTAATTTAATTTGTACCCAAAGTCCTAAGTGGATAAATGCCTTCACAGTATCTACAGAATACTCATCATCATGCTTTGACCTTTCTGCATAATATTGCCAGTCTGACTCAGGCTTTCATCACTGCAAAAATCCCTTGTGAACGACTCCTGGCTGCTACACCCACCTGCACTGACAGACCAGCCAAGGGTGATGCCACAGTCTTACATGAATCTCCCACCACCCTCCCAGGGATTCATCTCTAGGATCTGTCTACACAGCCTCATAAGCAAAGCTCTGGTTTACACCCAATAAAAGTTTCTGTCCTGAAATGGTGACCACACAAGAAAAATAGCACAATTTGTAGGAAGAAACCTGGCTGACTATTAAGGGTTAGCAAGGCAATAGGAAGTCATTCAAAACCTTCAGCAATAATAAATGGTCTGATGTGCTTGACATATCTATTTTAGAACAGCTGTTTTGTTTTGTTTTAAAGGATAGGATCTTTCCAGGATATTCATAACATCATCTGGACTGTTGAATTGGAAGTTTGAGTGACTTTTTCAGATAATTGCCTTTAAAAGTCAGTCCAGGTACATGTTTGATGCCACGACTCAAAGTTCAGCAACATCTTTCTTAAATATTGGCTATTTGTATATATAAAATCCTGTGCAGAAAGTAAAGAACTCAAGCACAAGTGGGTCAGCCAAAAGGCTGAGTGGAACAAGGAAGGTGAGGCACCTGGAACTGCTCCTGAGCATTATCACCTAATCCAGCTGCTGCTACACTGCTATAGCCAGCCCCGTGGTCACCTGAACGAGTCTGTACATGTGTGGGAGCTGCACATCCCCACGGAACACCAGTGACTGCTGTGCCATGGAGCAGGGCCCTCGGAGCTCCCCATCCTCCCTGTGTGGTCACAGACTGGCTCCTGCCAGTCACCTTTCCCAAGCAGCCCCAGAGGCCATGGACCATAACCCATCCATGAGCTGCCAGAACTCAGCCTCATCTCTGCCTTTTGCCAGCAACAGGGCACACTGCACTGGGCCACAGACCTGCAGGGCCCATCTCTCAGAAAATGGAGCAGCAGTTTGGCATCTCTGTCACTCCAGAAGATAATCCATCATTAGCATCCTTTGTAAATTGTGCCATTCCAACTCCTTTGAGAGGTAGTTTAGGCAAACCAGCTTCTTTTGAAAACTGCAAATGGTCCCGTCTCCACGTGGTCATGATGCAACATCAGCCAAAGAAGCTTTGGCTGAAAGGCCTAGGAATAGGCCTCTGTAGCTACCACAGCTTTAAAATTAGGTATAAGTGCAAGCACTAGAGGAGATAGCAGCCTCTTCAGAGTGCAGTGAATATGGTTATGACACTTCCCTTTTTCTATTAATACAACTCCATTTATTTTTTCCACCAGCCTTGCTAAACTTCCCATGGATAGGCTGGCAGCTGGCGAAATTTCTTGTTACACTGATGGAAACACCAAGTGTACTCAGATGCTTGATGAGTGAGACTGGCAAGGCAAGGTTATTTTCCATTCAGCTTCTCTGTGTAGGCTGACTGATGGTTGGAGACTGCCAAGGCAGTTGCTTTATTACCCTGGGGCATATTCCTCCTTTTCAAAACCTTGCATTCTACAGTGGGCCCTCAATGCCATCTCCAAAACGCTCCAGAAACAGCAATCCTAAGATATAAGTATAAATGCTTGAGATATTTTTCTCCACACAGACAACTGCCACTTGAAGCTCTAACTTCTTGATTGTTTCATTCCTAAACTGCTGCTTCTGCTGCACTTTTATAATTGTTGGTATGAATGATGATGGAGTTTTCTCCAGTAAAGGAACCTACCATCCCTTTCACCTAACATCTGCAAACAGTCCTTCTCTGTCAGTCAGCAGTAAACCAGAAAAATTAAAGCAAGGATACTGAAAGCACCGATCAGGCCTACGCCATTAGTGTTATGTACATGATGGTAATTCGTGCTGACAAGAAAAAAAAAAAATATATATATATATATATAAGAATAAAATATAAAACCTTGAAATCCCACCAGCAAGAGAGAAGAGGATTGCTTCACAGGGTGGTGGAACCGCAGCTGGCAGCTGAGAAGGAGGTGTGTCATTAACACACAAAATGTTCCTAGCCAGCACAGGAGAGGGGCGTTCTCACTGGCATGAACGAGAGAATGCCCAGCGATGATGGCCCATGGAGAAATCCACCTCAGCTAGACAGGACCATCAAGGACATACATCTGAATGCGGGATTCCGGAACCGAGGAGCAGATACACATCAATTCCAGAATGAGGCTTTGTCCAGCACAGGACAGAGAACAGAGGAAACATGAATATGAAGAACCCAGAGGAAAGACAAAGGGACTCCGCCATGGGCAAGAAAAAGAATATAAAACTTGGACTCCGCCAAGTGCCATTTGTGAACAGAGGGGATTAGATGTGATAGAGGCTGGATCTGAGTTCACCTGAGTTCCTGGGGTCGGTGCTGCCTTGGATTGTTGGTGGTCAGGACTGTATATCAGTCATGAATGAATTTCATTTTTATTTTTATTAAATTGGCTGGATCAGTTTTTACCCATAACAATTAGCAAAGCAAATGCCATTCAGCACCACTTCGAAAGGCATCCAGGACAGGAAAGCTGCTGTACACTTTCAGTACCTACTGAACTGACAAGCTCAATAGTCTCCTCCATCATCCAACAGACTCATTATCAAGACAGAGGTTGGAATGTCTGAGAAGAGCTGTAAAACCTTTGCCTTTCTGAAACTTAAAGCTGCTGTGCCAGGAGAGCTGAGAACAGAGCCCATGGCCCACCGTGGGTAATACTGACCCCAGCACAAGGACAGGGCGGGTGATCAGCTCAGCCACACTGCCTGAGTGGGTGCTCAGTTCTTTTGCAGAGAGGCAAGAAAGACACCCTGAGGAAGGGCTTGGGTGAAGAGGCAAAGCAGGGCAGGAGATGCTAACACCTGGCTACCAAGCTCATGGCTGAGCCAAGGCAAAACAATTTTGCCGTGTTGTGTATTTTCTGCTCCTCATGAGCTCCCTTTAGCAGGGAACCTGTTGGTTTTCTCTGGGATTTCTCCCTCCACCCACAAGATGGCATAATTTGCTTAGTCTCCGGTTGCTCTGGATGTGCTTGGCCACTTTTCTCTCTAACCAGAGAGGATATGGTCACATTTCATCTCACAAGATGGCTAACAGAAGGAGTTAGCCCTCCTTTTCCCTGTCCCAGCCTGCAGGGATGGGTTTGGCCCTGCTGAGTGGACAGGGAAGTTAACAGAGAAAACAGATGGATAGCCAGTGCATCCTGCACTCTTGGCTCCCTAGTGCTTGGATAAACAGAGGCGAACTCACTGCTGTCTTGGGACATGCCAGGCTCCCCATCTGTAAGAGCACGTTCACAGTGCAAGGGCTGTGCTCAGGAAATGTAATTGGCCAGCATGGGTTGATGCGACATTTCCCAGAACAGAATGACTAAGGAGGAAATGAATCTCTTCAATACAAGTCAACTATCAATTCCCTGATATTTACCTAAAACGGAAGCCAAATCGAAAACCAACAAAAATTATACAAGCTGGGAAATATTCCCATTTTGTATTATTTTTGTTGGTTTTCGATTTGACTTCTGTTTACTCTTGGAGTTTACTTGCAAGACAAAGCAGTAAAACTGTGATATTGTTAGAAACCACAGTCACCTGACTTTATTTTCCCTCCCTTAGATTGACTGGGTGGTCTGACTATCTGTTCATCAGATTTTCCCTGGAAACATCTCAGGTTTAGAAAACCTAGGTACCTTTGGAAAGGTAATTTACTGGTGAGCTCCAAGAGAGAGACACTGCCACAAACAGTTGGCAGAGGTTCCCTTATAGAAGGTCAGAATGCAGAGCAAGCCAGCAATTGCATGTGAAGTGCATATTCATGGGCATCAAGACAGCAGGTCCTTAAAATCTGTGCATCAGCCAAAGAACAGGAATGAGCAATTGTTCATACATCAAAAGCATCAATGCCCCTCTCACCTGAAGGAAAAACACACTTCAAGCCATCAGTTTTAAAAGTCAAAACTCCAGAGGAAGAGAGATGGCTTTCAGGAAACGAGCTTACCTCATTGCAACATTGCTGCCATCGATCACAATGGGCCTCAGGGAATCAGAAGAATCACTTTCATCTTCTCCAAGCCACTTCGGCCCCGGTGAGGGGCTGCAAGATCCTCGGGGAACCAGCATCAGTTGGGAAGGCTGAGCCTGGTTTTCCAGAGCCTGAGGTCTGCTCCCCATCCGAATCAGCTCTTTCAGCACATCATCCTCCAGGGCCTCTTGGCCCAGGTTCTCCAGCACTTTGCAGATGTCCTGCTTACCATAGCCCAGCTTGCAGAAAAAATCCATCTTGCTCTGGTGCGCTTCCACCCCTGCTGCAGAAACTTTTCTGGAGTGTGGTGGTGCTGCTTTGCTAGGAATCGAACTGGCCAGTGCCATTTTAGCAAGAATTTATGTTCCTTTAAGCCTGATGATCCTGTCTTCCCAGCTGTGTCCCACAGGCATCAGCTTCATGGAGGGAAAGATTAGCAACAACAAAACACAAGCATTAAGGAAGAACATGCAATCATCTCAGTTCTTTACCTAGTGCACAGCGGAGACCAGATTAGCTGTCTTCTCTCTAAGGAGAGTGTCCTGTCTTCTCTCAGCACTAAAGCATTTTTCTGGTCCGCTCTTAACTATAAAAGCACCAGAGTGTCCCATGCAATGTTCGTCACTCTGCAAACATTATGTCAGACAGGTGTCACTTTACTTGGTGAGCTATGCCAGGCTGCCTGTACGCAGACAGGCTGCATGCGTGAGCTGGTTCTTCAGACTTATCTCACAGGAAATGACACAAAGGGGATTTTCAATTTGCTGTGTGGCTTCTCAGCCCGAGATAAATATCTGTCAAGTTTTACTGGACAGGCTCAGGTGCCATAGCAACTTAACAAGCATTGCAAATTTCATCCAGTAATTTAAGGAAACATGCGAAGTATCTGGAAACAGATTTATTTTTATAGTTTTCTCTTTCCTACTATGTATCTGTCTGTGTGTATACGGACATAAATTCTGAAATTCGGTCACTCATCAGTTCTAATGATGCCTGACTACTCTTTTCCTGTTACTTGCTATTTTGGTGAGGGCTTTTATTTTCAGAGAAGCAGCTTGTTTTTTTGAAAGCTGTCAGGATGGTGCCTTGAAGCAGGTGATCCAGAAAGTGGTTTCAATTTCGCTTACGTTTATTGTCAAGGTAATTCAGAAATGAGTGTGCAAAAGTAGCAAAAAAGCTACTTCATATTCTCAGAACAGCACCACGTACATTTCTGGTCTACCCAGTGAATGAAGGGGATGGGCAGCACAGTCAGGGATACCCAGAGCTGCCCAAGCCCAACAAGCATGACACAGGAGAACATACAGGGTGACCACTCATCTGTCAAGCCAAACGCCTTCAGTCACTGTTGGCTTGCTTGCACTGAAGCATCTCTTGCCACATCGCTGCAATTATTGGTGCTACCTGGTTGAAAGCTGTGGCTGGTTCTTTTACCCACATGAGGGATGTAAGGGTGGCCATCTTCCCTTTGCTGACTGCACTCAAATGCAGAATTAGCTGACCAAACAACCCCCTCCCTGCTGAGCCCAGAGCCAGAGCCACATCCCACCCTCCAGCTCCCCTTCCCAGCCTGCCAGCACTCCCTGCCTAGCAGTGGGCCACCCTGGGAGCCAGAAGCTGACACCATGTGGAAGAAGGCAGGGAGGTGCTGGAAACAAGCAGCTGGGAGAGGATTCAGAGTGAAGCTCCCCCCCAAGGCATAAAAGCCTTCTCAGGCTCTGGGGAAGAAATCCACACTGGGTTCAGGTAATTTAAAACTGATTAGTTCGGCAGGGAAAACATGATAATTAGTTATAATTTCACCTTGTGAAACTTTGATCTTTACTTTTCTATGTGGCTTTATAAATTTCAGGTATTCTATGGGAGAAATCTGGCACTTAGTTAAAAATTACAAACAGCATCAGTAAAAAAACCACATACTTTAAATATGTCATACTTGTAAGGGGAAAAGAGTTAGCATGTGTATTTTTCCATCTAAACTAAAGCATTGCTTATTTTAGTCAGTGACTGTTTTCTTCACCATGCACTCTGTAACAATTTTTACATCTAATCCTTGTTTTTAATTAATTGACTAAAGATTAAAGTGAAAATGCTTTTTCATGAATGAAATGTGTTCTCATCTTAGGAACAGCTACCGTCTGAGCTGAAATACATTGATATAACCAAATAAAGCAGAAGCAGCCATATCTGGGCTAGCACCACAGTAAAACCTGCTTCCAGGTATGGAATTAGTGGCTCCAAACACTTAAAGTTTGCTACTTCATTTTTTTAAAATGCCTAGACTTTTAAAAATAAATTACTGCTAATTAAAACTTTTCTTGGTATAGCTTCAGTTAAAAAAGAAAATATTTACCACATATTTTAATTATCATTACTATTATTTTCAAACTTGTACTTCTGTCTACTCTGATGCTTTTTTTCTTCTTTTTTTCTTTTTTTTTTATTTTTTAGCTCCCCCTTATCTTTTACTATCAGAACAATTTCCCATGTTAGCATCACACTGTGTTGCATGGATGTTTGTCCTGGATTTCACCTGAAATTAGGTTTGATTCAATCCTGTAGAATTTTACCTGCTGCAGAGGGGGCAGAGGCCACGTCTGCCTTGCAACCTCCAACACACATGAGCAGGTGCTGGATGGAAGTTGTTCACCACAACACTTTCATAGCTCCATCCCAGGCAGCACCAAGCCCATGGTCCATGTCTGCACACTTTGCTTTCTTTTGCAAGGAAGCAAAGTGTGCAGACTTGTGTGCAAGCAGTGACTCCCTTTGGCTTGGTGAGCAGGGGAAGTGCTGAGCTCCGATGGCTGCCTGGGCTTGATGTGATGCAGTGTCAGCCACCAGCAGCAGTGTGGTAATTCTGCAAAGTTAACCACTGGATTTCTGCTGCAGTGTGGCCAAACATCACAAATGGGTGATACAGGCACTGAAGGGTTTTCACCACAGAGAGAATAATTTGGAAAAACTGAGATGGAAGCCTTGGTCACAGAAAAAACTGAGGTCACCCTTCTCAAGGGGGAATTAAAGGGCAATAAAATCCCTGGCTTACACATTAGTAAACAGTCAGCAGTGTGCCCAAGTCCAGCAGGTCAGCTGGCTGCTTATAACCAGCATAAAAAACATGACAAGAGGAGAAACTGTGTATCACAGAGTCCAGCTTTTACTATCACAAACAGGTTGTGAAATTCCATTTATAAACTTTATGACCTTCATTTGCAAACTGCCTAGATTTCCTCCTGCCACTTTCCTCCCTTCATCTCACCTGATCCCACTGGAATCTGTTTTTGTTTTCATTCCACTGAAAGCCAAAGTCTTCTCATTTCATAGAATAATTTATCCACAGATAATGGTGAGCCCATCCTATGTTCTAGCTTAAAAAGCACTCTCTCTGTGTTGTTGTGACTCCTCTTACAGATACACACACACACACACAGAAGAAATGGCTTCAGTCAGATTTCCAAAATTCTATTTCAGTCTTAACATTTTAGAAGGTTAATATTTCAATGAGTACTTTTGACCAAAAAAATCAAAAAACCTCTTCTGTTTTTCTGCCTTTGGTATATTTTGACAGATTTTTAAGATTAGAACTTTATAAATGAGAACATTTTCCAAAGAAGTGGTGGTAACTACTACATCTCAAATGACTTTAAAGAATAATTTTTCTTTCCACCAGGTGTTTGCTCCTCTTCCAACCAGTCAGAGCAGCACCTCCAGCAGCCTCAGGCCATAGAACCACAATAAAGACCAGCTGGACTCACAGGGCTCTTCAAAGCCCCCTCAAAGGCCTGTTCTGCCCAAGCAGAGGCAGAGGGGACACAGCCTCAGACAGACCTGGCACTGGTCAAGGCAGAGCAGGATAAGGTTCATGTGTATGCCAAGCAGCACAAGAAGCACAGCTACAGCTCCCTGCCACTCACGTTGTTTTGCCCCTCACGTCTCGGGGCTGGACCACTTCACCCCTGAGAATGACACTGCAAACCACCTAAGACTGACAGCCCATTTGAGCCCTGCCATGTGGTGGGGCTGCTCCACACAGCAGTAAGTAAGAAAAAAAAAGTAAGAATCCCTGAGAATGACACTGCAAACCACCTAAGACTGACAGCCCATTTGAGCCCTGCCATGTGGTGGGGCTGCTCTACCTTCACAAAAGTAAGAATTTCTATTTTCACAAATGAAAGATGCACATAACTCTTCATAAACTCGTCAGAGTAACACCAGACACTAAGAAAAGATCTGCCTCTTTCTTCCCCACCTTCCCTGATCTGTTTGCTAAAAATAATAAAGCCAAACTCCCCAGGAGCAAGCTGTCCCCACAGGTAACCCCTCTTGCTCTGCACCTTACCTGGCAGCTGTTCTCTCTGTGGCCCAGCAGTCTTGTCCCACCATCCCCAGCCAGAAGCTGGATTCAGAGCAGTACCAGGCTCACGAGGAAGTCACCAGCTTGTATTTAGAGGTAAGGCTGATGTCAACTGAGGCAAATAAGTGCAGTGGGCAGAACTCATTTTATAGGAAGATTTTACTTCCTCATTTGGCGGGCCATGCTCTCATATAACCATAGTTTGATAAACTTTCACTTCATTTTTCAAAAGGAAAAAAAATAAAAGTGGTTCCTAACACATCTCTGTTCTGAGTCACGGGCAAAAATTAGTCAGACTCACTCCAGCAGGGATGCAGAACATTGGGCAGTGAGAACATTTCATATGAATTCTGGGTCAAGTGAAAAATTTTCCACCAGGGTTGCTGTACAAGTTAGCGCAGACTCATTCCCATACATCTGGCAAATTTCTGACCTCCAGGAAAATGTGGAAAAAAATACTTTTTGCTTAGCACCTGATACTGCAAAGCCTCATTTAAACATTTCCATGTCTGAAGGAACCTGTTCTGGGACACTACAATGAAACATCAAAATCCAAACAACCCCCTTTAGCCTGATGGTGCCTCAATTGAAAGACAGCTTCAGAGATGCTCAGCCTGTCCACAGCAAAGTCTGACAGGCACTTCTTCATGGAAACCTGAGGTTTCCTCTGCTTTTTCATTACCTTGCTGCGAAGAAATACACCCCAAATCCAATTTTAAGCAGCAAGAAGGGTTTGAGACTCTAAGAGGGGCCAACCTCTGGGACCTTTCGGATGCGTTAGATAGCTCTTGCATGTGCAGTGCCCCCTGCCCTGAGGGATGACTGGGGTGCTGTGCTGTGGAAGGAGAGAGCCTCTGCCGCTGTCAGAAGGCAACACAACCAGAGCAGGGCTGACCTTTCCCAGTCAGGAATCCCACTACCTGCATACTTTGTGGGAGTAAGCAGGGTGGCCAAACCCTTTGTAGTGCTATCCTGTTTATCCCAAAGAGTGTTTGCTGGTTGCTGCAAGCCTCACCATCACCTTTTCCTAGTGATGATTACACCTTTACATCACACCCAGAATCCTGGAAACTCTGTGAGCCAGGATGCCCTGCTGCTGTGTAAAGCAGTGCTCAGGCAGTAACAGGATAAAGGGGCAGGACACAGCCTCCTCCCTCCTACCTCTGGCACAACACTTCCTCTAATCCACAAAGCTGGGCAGGTTGAGGCTACAGAAACAGGGAAGTGCTCCTAGAGCCACAACTAAAGAAACATGTTAGCTCCCTGCTGCCCAGAACAGCTGTGAGAGCACAACAGCCTTTGACTCCTCACTCCTTGGACTCAGAATCACAGCATGAACTAAGCTGGAAAAGACCTTTGAAATCATCAAGTCCAGCCTAAACTCCAAACACCCCTGGAGAGAAGGGATCTTCTCTTCTCCATTTAAGCTTTTACATCGCCCCACACCTTGTCACAAGACCACCACATAGCAGTACTACTGGAAAGAAAGTTGCTGCATTATTTATAACCCAGGCAGGGTTAAATAAAACAGAGCAAAGAACACTACATTGTGTGGTGTTGTTTTAACCCCTACTTCTCAGTGAAATGGAGGTTTTACTACCTAAACAGGAACAAACCAGAGATTATAAAAAGAAAAGAGAAGTCAATTAGATAAAAGAAAAAAGAAATCTCATTTCTACTGAAATGACCATGCCCATCTACTGTAAAAAGCCATGAGCAAAAACCACTTCTACATCATTCAAATTGTATGCAGCCAGGAAGACCCTCAGCAATTCCTGAAACCTGTCTACCTAGTGATCACCAGCTACCAGAGAGAAGACCATGAGAAATAAATAAAAAATATTTTTCAGATGGCCTCACACCTCTTCGCTCACCAGCACAGATACACGTTTGAGCACCAAAGGCTGTGGTTTTATAGACATTTCCTTTCTCTGCTGTGCTGTCTTATGCTGACAAGCATGCTGAGTTTTCCCAGCACAGATTTATTGCTGCTCAAGGCCATTATTATGCTCAAGAGGGAAAGAGCTGCAGTAGGAGAAGTTTTCAGAGGGGAAGATCTCCCCACTAATTGATGTTTCAGTGCTGAGGACTGAGGATTTACTGGTTTGTGAAACAACAAGACCTTCACCAGAAAGAATCCTGCCAACCTCAAAGTGGGGCAGCCTTCTTGTGGCAGCTCCTAGAGGCTACAGAGTCGGCCAAGCATGACTTTGAAGAAGCCACCCTGTGCAAAAACACCTTCCTGATGGTGTTAGACTCCTGCATGGAAAAACCACTCTTTTGAAACTGATTCTGTGAAACACCTCAGGTGTTTTGGTCTACACACCTCAGTGAGGTATTTGCTTTGCTAAAGGAAACAGTCACTATTGCATCAGCAAAAGAGAAAAGCATTATCACCTTCTTCCTCATCTGAAAAACTCACCTGCTGTGTACCAAACAAACATGTGGCCACAGTAACAGAGTGAAAGTTCTTTGGCCCTTAACCAGCAGAACAGTCAGAATAAAGCAAGTGCTAAATCAAACGTAGGTCTATTGCCAGGAATATTTTTAATAATTGCGGAACTAATATATTCTCCATCCTGCCTCAAGCGAGAGTATTTCCCTACTCCCTTCAGGAAGGCTCAGATCAGACCCTCAAGCCAAGCTTTCTCAACAGTATAAACTATGTTCCTGATTTTAATTTTTTTACTATTAGGTGAAATCTGGATGTTTTCTGCCAGTGAAATTCTTTCCCTGTTGGAGACACTGAAAATTTTGACTTGGAGACAGGTGCTCACCCAAAAGCCTACATCACTAAGTTCGCAGGTCCTACCAGAGTACCAGCTCAGCTCCTGACAGGCAATCCTGTATTTACACAGGCAGAAAGCCACTATCTTTAGAAGAGGTATTTCTACATGCTTTCCAAAATGACCACCTTTCCTACTTCCTCAAAACTATGCCACTGTAGCAAGCACTCCATCTGACCACAGAACAGAGAGAACAAAAATCAGGAAAACCAATTTCAATAATGCAAACAATGGTAACTTCTCGGAAAATTGCAACCCCATCCATAACGTCTGATGTAGCAGGATCCCTACTTGACTGGCCAAAAAGATCTATTTTTCCTCCTTTTATATAACAAGATACTGCTATGACTCAAGTTGTTTTCCACTGGGCTTAAAATAAAAAAGTACCTTTTACAGAGTCAGAAAGTCCCAAACAAGTTTCAAGTTCAAAAGTTTACTGTCGTTCAGGTTAAGATTTCAGAAGGCTCTTGGAACTCTCTTTCAGCTTCAATGATTTATTGTAAGCTCTCAAGACCTAAACCAACACACAGTTTGCTGGTACCTTTTAACACAGCCACCACATTTAACCAAGGTGATACTGGCTTGCTCAATGAGAAAATGCACATCCCATCAGTGGCCAGACCAAGCATTTTTCACAAAAATACCGCCCTGAAGCAAGTATTTACATAAATCTGACTGTAATTTAACATTTTTCAATTGTTTGCACCTCCTCTGTGTGCAACAGGTGACTAGCAGAAAAGGAGAGACATTACCCACGCTCCAGGAAGCTTACAAGCAAAACCTGTAATCCTGTTGCCAACAACATACAAGTTTTACATGAAAAAAATCAGGCTACAGGAGGGTGAGATGGACAAAGATAGCAGCAGTAGGATCAGAAATTGTTCTAAACTTCTTAGAAATTTTAAAATGCTTGTCCAAAACTAACAGATGAAGGGAGTAGGGGAGAATTTGGTTTGGTCTGCTTGTGTGGTTGTTAGGGTTGGGTGTGGTTTTGACAAGCGGAAGGAAGCAGGTAGAGCTTTATCTCCAGAGAGTACAGGGGTTACCACGACTGGGTTTGGGTAACTCCCATCCTGCAATGTCAACCCCTTGGATACAACATTTATGCTACTTCCAGTGGCTTGTGTCATGTCCATGGGATTAGAGATCTCTGTTGCAACCTACCCTCCTGCCACTTGCCTCTAGTGCTCTGCCACCAGGTCCTATTCATAACATGGTTTTGGCCAAGTCCACTCCAAGTCTTGGACTCAAACTCAAGGGATCTACCAAGAACTAAAGAAACTACAACACATGACAGCAAAATAGTCACAAACTTACTCAAATCTACAGAATAAAACAGTTTAGAGTCTACACCACGTTTTTAAACTGTTGTAGGTAAAGAATCAAATAGAAAACTCTGAGGAGCTGGTTTTTAAGCCTTTAACCACTGAAAAAAAAGAATCCTAAAGCATGAGGTGTTCCCCTTCAAACAAACATCAGCTAAGTCAAAGTGAAGAAGGTGATGCTTCTGCTACACTTTCAATGCTATTTTCAACATTATAGAACAAGGTGGGTTTTTTGGTTGTTTTTCAACTACCACAAGCACTAAAGGTCAATAGCAAAACTGAGGTTGGAGAAAGCATTGACGAAAAGGAAATGACAGGGAAGTGTGTCTTCTCATTAGATTAGAACAAGTCAAAGTCAACTCTTCAGCTCCCAGATAATAAAGTCCTGTCCACTCCAACACCTCTGGCTGGACAGGCACGGCAGGAAATGTTTGTGGTTTCAGCTTGTTCGTGCCATTTCCAGAAGAACCACATGTATTTCCAATGACAGGAAGAGTAAATCCCATCTAACCCAGAGTGCTCTGCTGTCTATGTGCCAGGTGAACTGCGATCCCTCCAGTGCCAGCAGACTAGCCTAGAAATGCAGCCCTAAAATTAAGTACTTGCCTCCAAATTGGGAGCTTTTATAATGCCATTTAATCACCTATTAATGCCACCTTATTTTTGAACATCCACATTTGAAAGATTCCTCTTAAAAAAAGATAAACAGGTAATTTCACTAATCTGAAGATACTGTGCATTTTTAACAGCACCAAGGCATACTGAAAATCAGAAACTTGAAACCTTTTGAATGTACTGATTTTTTTAACCCTTAGTTCTGAAGATGCTTTGCCAACAACGAAAATGCACTCTTTACTTCTGTATACAACTCATTTAAACTTAGTTCTTAAGTATTTACCTCTTGCAAAGAAAAGAAAAGCCATTTCTGCTGCAGAAAAGTGAGCACATTGACCTGAAATAGGGTGTTTGTTTCTAAATATTGGTAAGTTTTGTATGTCCCACAGGTGGTTGAAGACTAGCTGCAGCCTAGGAATGGCTGCTGAAACTCTTTGTGATGTTAAGTCACAACTCTCCATTAAGAGGACCTCTGATGTTCAGCAAGAATCCAGCATTCTCCCCAGATGGGAGCTTTAGTTTGTTTCTGTGATTGCCATTTCCTAAAGAAAGCAAGAATGCAATTTTCTCACTATCTCCACACCCTTGTCAAATCTGGCCAGTGTTTCTCCCAAGTTAAAAATGTCATGTGGAGAAGGACAGAAGGACTGAGAACAGTATGACAGTGCAATCCTTGTTTCTTTAACAGAGGAGGCCAAGAGCAGGAGGAGCTTGAGACAACCTACTGCCTCCACAGCACTATTCCAATGGCACCATAACCTGACCTAGTATAGTTCCTTGGAATCTTGTTATGCCCAGATGGAAGGCAGACATTTTCTTGACAGAACAGTGAGCAGTCCTCAGCCCTAGATTCCCCAGGAGACTTCCAGGAACAGGCTTCCTGTTTACCTCTCCTCTGGGACAGAGGGCTCTTGCTCAGACTCTGCAAGAATGGCACCAGCCCCTGTAGGGTCTCAGGCAGTTAGAAATGTTTTGCCAGGAGACAGTTGTGGAAGCCTTGGATTTCCAGTTCTATGCTTTGAAGGACACAAAAGTAAGAGATTCATCAAAAGGCAGCTTCTTAGCAAAGTACACTTCCTGTTCTTGGTGAAGCCCACTTTAAGTCCTGGACTTAAAGTGGGCACTCAAGCTCAAGACTACAAAGAACTAAAGGAACTATAACGTGTGACATCAAAATAGGTCTCAAACGTACTCAAATCCATAGAATAAACCAACTAGGATTCCACATTCACATTTTTAAGCTGTTGCAAATAAAGGAATCCAACAGAAAACTCTGAGGAGCTGGTTTCTAAGCCTTCAACTAATGAACAAAGAACCTCAAAGCATGAGGCATTCCCCTTCAAACAGGTCTCAGATATCTCAAAGTGAAGAAGCCGATGCTTCTGCTACAGCATTTTCTATGTTATTTTCAACATTACAGGAAGGTGGGGTTTTTATGTTCTGTTTTCTAATTACCACAAGCACCAAAGATGTTGGACTCCAGCTTTGTTTTTAACAAAGCAAAGACAGGGCAGATGCTGCTGGAAAGCACATTCCTGTATTGAATACCCTCAGTATCCCTGCTCAGCTTAGGTCCAGAGATTACAGCCATCCCGCCTGGCCTGCCAGGTCAGAATTTTCTGCCATGGGATAGTTTCAGCTGATTATGTTCCTTAAATATCTGCCTTCCCATAGAATCAGTAAGAATTCTCTCTCTTCACAGTCCACTGAAATACTCTATCCAGGCACAAGCACTCCAGGGCAGAGCAATTTGCAGCAATTCATCTTGAATTTTACAATTACCAGATCGTGTTCCAACGAAGGCTATCAAGTTGTAAAATTTTACTGGCACATTGCAGACAGACACTACAGTAAGTATTACAGAAAAAACACTATCACAAAAGAAAAAAGTTAAATTTATTATTTTAGTTCCCCTCTGTATTTTCCTTGTCCTTCATCTGTACTTGGACCTCTCTTTGTCTTTTGATTTCTTAGGACTTCTGCTTCTGTCTGCTTTTTTATCCCAGTCTCTTACTCGGATGTCTTCTCTGTATTTGTCTTTTTGTCTGCTGTAAGTGTAATCTCTCTCCTGAGAACGGCTGCGGCTCCGATGCCTGTCTTTCTTCTCACTCTTGGTCCTTTCCCTGCAGCGTTCTTCGTGCTTCCGGTCAGAATCCTGGCAAAGGAATTGCACAGAAATGCAGTTACAAACAAGAGGGGAAGACACACAGAGGCACGAAGAGAACTAGAGAAAAGTCAAGCATGGCTGGTTCCTCAGCTACAGCTGGTACTACCTTAAAGAGATTCACCTCCATGATAATTTGAAGAAGGTAACACAAAAATTCGCCACTGAAACATCTAAAGAAGGCAAGTTTGTTTACAAGTAAGTTTCTGCTGTTAAGGAAAAAAGCATGGCTGTCAGGCATCCTTCTTGCACTGCCTAAGGAGCTTTAGCAAAAACTGGTTATATCAGGGATTCCATTCAGATGGATATTATCAAACTCTTCACAACCATCAAACATGTCTGTAAGCTAGATTTGGATTTCGGATTTTTTAACCTAAGCAATGCAAATATTTCCAAAAAATAAGTTTTGGTTCAAGCCCCACAGTCATTCCAGTGCTTTGCAGATGCATACCACATTTTAAGACCCACCTGTAATAATTCTTCATGGCCTAAATTCTAGGTTTCAGCAAAATGAACAACCTGACAGTTTAATATCACTGTATGTGCTAAAAGAGAGATACAATTTTATAGGATTTTAATAACAATACTGTTAAGCACAGATCAATATGAGTTAAGAAAAATGTCTGCATTAAATCACACAATATTTCTTTCCTCATTTCAGATATTATTTTTCTCAGGATGTACCATGACATCAGCCTTCACAACTGTATGGTTAACATACACTTCATGTACAAACAAGCAAACTTCATTTATTTAAAAGAATGGTGAAAAACCTCTACTTTAAACAGAGATTTTATGCAGAAAGCCAGTGCCTGGGGTGGATCCCAGAGCAAACACCACCTTTAGAATGACATTGATAATGCTGAAAGTATTAGGGGTACAATATGCAACACAAACCCTCTGGATAAACAGACACACAAATAATCACAGGTTTGATCTATAATAAAAACATTCTGCTACTGCTAGGTACAGTAATCTCACTGGTTGACAAATGCCTATTCCACATCTTTACTGTCCAACTTTATTTCTTTAAAATCTGGATCCACCAAAAAGTCTCAGTGATGCTTCCAGCTACTTGTAAGAGCTTTGTCCATCCAATCTCAAAATGATGCACAGCCATACTACTACTCTTGTTCCCAAAAGCCTCACTCTCCATATGTTTGAAAAAGCAAATTGGTTTCAAGCCCCTCTATGATAAGACCTGAGCAAACATCAGATGATGGACATGCTAGTGGAGGAGTAAGAGGAACAAGACAAAAAATATTGGCCAGAAAACCAAATGGTGGGCTTGGTGTATGGCTGCCTTCTAACTGGATTGTTGCTGGAGTTTCCTCCCAGCACATGGGGGAAAACAGGAGAAAAGCAGGACAGCACTCAGTTGAACAATCCACCAAATAAACACTGGAGACAAAGCTACTGGTCAAGTGGGGGCACAGAACAGGTTAGTGAACATTTCAAATTACAAACAAATGGCCCACATTGAATGCCACAGGAAAGGACAACTTGCTGAAAGGCTTAGAAGTCATACAAGCACTGAGTTAAACAACAACAGTGACCTTCATAAAAGCATTTAAGGTACAGGTGTACAGGACAAATCTGAAAGAGACACAACAATGTTGCCACAGTAGCTGTTGCTACTTTGATCACAATGTAAAGGAAAAGATCTGAATTTGAATTAATAGAATGAATTGTATCTTTATTTCTTGCCAGCATAAGTTACATTTCCCATCTAATAAGATTTCCACTCCAAAGACTTTAAAATGAAAAAAGGGTCAATTTTTAAAACACACTAAATTACTAAAAAAAAAAAGGCATTTCGAAACCAAATTTTTATGGCCAAAAGTCAAAACCACACTGTTATGGAAGAAAAAGAAAAATATTTAAAAACAGGCTTCTTAAAAACAGGCTCTCTCTTACTGCTGAAATTTGTATTTCTCAATCCAGGATCACAGCCTCTCATCAGCCAATGAGTAAGTGATGATCACCCCAGTTCTTAATTCAGCACTGTGTTGGAACACACATGGGGAAGGAAATAAGGAAAGAGAGAAAGATGCTTCTCTGGAAGTCTGTGGCTGATTTTGCCAAAAGTAGTAACTTCCTAAACAGCAGTGCCAGGTCAAATAGCTAGCAATATCATGGCCACAGAAGTAAAATGAATACACCACCTCTAACATACATTAAATACAGTAGTTAAAGGTTAAAAGGAGTAAACAAATAAAGAGAGCCTTTTCTGGGGGGAGATTTTGATAAAACTTGACCCTGAATATGAAGGGAACAGTGTCCAATAAGCAGTAAAAGCAGGAAAACAAAACCAGAAAAATCAGAACCTCTGCCAAAACCATGCACTACAGAAATCTGAAATCGGGAAGTCCCTATGTCTTGCAAAAATCTATTGGATAGGCCATACTACCTCACAGATCCAGTTCTCTTAAAAAATAAAATCCAGGAGAAATCACACAGAGAAAACTGGAAGGCGAACAAAGTCCTAATATAGATCTCATGCAGAAGCATGTCCTGTATGCAAAAAAACTCTACCAAATCCTATTCACAAACCCACATGGCGGTCCACCCTCCTGCCTCAGACCCACATCCTGTTACTTACTAAAAGCAAGCCACAGCACCCTACCTCTTCTACCCACTGGAATGAAGTCAAACAGCACAAGACTCAAAAATATATTCTTGAAACATCAACAAAGAGGCCAAAGATTCAGGAAATGGGTGTCAGACTAAGAAAAGGATGAGTCAAAATATACTAAAGAAAAAAGTAACACCAGCAAGAGAACAGAAAAACAACTCAACATCATGGAAACTATTGAGAAAATAAAACCCCTTCAAGTCATAGCTAGAGTTGATAGCACAAACTGCAGCTCCAGTTGCCAGAACTTCCCATTATAAGCCCCATATCTCTCTTAATTAAAATCTCTGCCACACTATGGACTCATGGTGTAAGTTTCTGCAAGAAGCACAGCTATTGTGCTGCTGTTTTATTTTCAAGTTCTTACCTCAAATATATCTAGTGATTTACAAAATAGGGTAAAGGGAGAATGCTTTGTTTGCCTATACTAAAAATACTACCATTCACTGAAAAGTTTCCATGCTGTTATGCTTTGTGTTGGACTCAGTATTCCCACTGAATGTATTCCACCTCAGGAACATGCCTGCTTCCCCTTAGTTTCACATATTATGCCCGAAGTATGAATAGTAAAAAATAAAACAGAATTAAAATTTTGCATATGCTAAGCAGGATTTGTCACCTAAGCTAGCTGCAGATTTCACTAGAGAGGCCATGCCCAAAATACTGAGTCTGTGTGAGACTGAGTACATACTGCTCAGTACATGCATACTGTACAGTACACACTAACGAGGATATTCAAATCCAGAGAGAAAAATTCTTCCTAGAAATTAATTTTCACAGCTCCAAGAGGGAACTATGATGCCTGCCATCAGAGAATACAAGTAACCCTCCATCTGTGATTTAGGGCATAAGAAAGCTAAACTACTTACAGCAAAATGGGCAAAGGTGACTAAGAGAGAAGAAAGCTGTGGGAAAGAAGATACCAGAACACAGCAGCAGCAGATTACAAGAACAAACCACATCAGGAGCAGGTGACTAAATCACAAAAGAGTCACATAAACACAGAGATCACATAGACAAGCATTAGAATATGCTCTATTCCAGAACCTGAAAACAGCACCAAGAATCCTTCTGTTCTCATTCATGTTTCTGTGCTATGAAGTCTCACAATCCATTTACAATTATTAGAACTGATGTTAAAAAACTACTGCTGCCAGCACTTGTGCCAAATACAGGGGTGAAGACTTCCAAATAATTTTAAAATGTTCTCTACTGATAACACACGAACAGCCAGTTCCATGGGTGTAACTCCTGAACCATCAGGAACAAAGATTGCCAGCAAAAATACTTGTTTCAAGAAGTCTAAAGCAACAATTTCAGCCAAATAGACAGGAGAAAGTCTAAACCAACATTAGTCCACACCTCTTGTACGCATGTACTGCAGTCAGGACTTTACCTACCTGTAAAAGCCCCTCCCCTCCACTCAAAGGACCCTGACTGAATTAGTGCAGTGACAAAAAGACTGGGTCCATGAATGACCAGTACGGCTCACTGGAAGATTTTAGTTGCTGACCTTCATGAGAAAAATCATTTTCAAGCATCTCAACAAGAAGTGATGTATAAGAACAGAATCATGTATGCTTTGTGCACCCAAAACTTTCAGCAGTACTCAAAACCTGGGATGGAACAATGGCTTTATTTGCTGTGGCTGAAACTTTTTCACTTTCTGCAAAGTTGCTAGAAGACAGCTCTGTTCTCACTCATAAAAATTTGCACTGTTAAAATACTGGAGTTTGGTTTTTTCTTTTCCAGCTTAGCTCAATTCTTCCTAATGCTAATTTCAGTGGTGGTTAACCCTCTACTTTCTCATTGCACACACTTTCTCATTGTTTCCACAAAACACCGTATCTTCAGTATCCCAAGTTCACAGAAATGTGGGAATGCTGTCCTGACAGGCTGCAGTGGAACTAATGACTGACAGAATGACTCTCCTGGTGCTGTCCTCCACAGCCCCAGCCTCACAGCACCTTAGGCTTGCACATTCCAGATGCAAGCAAACCCACACGCAGATTTTACACAAACACTTCCAAAAGAGTTAAGGACAAATGCAAAAAGATAACATAAAGAGATTGTACTCCCAACTCCATACAGGAAAAATTCAACATTCTGGCAAGAAAATGATACATAGTCTACAGTAATAAAATATAATTAACTACTACTTTATGAGTAGGAATATGTGAACAACAGGTTCAAAGTGCTGAAGATCCCCTACTTTATGAGAGGCTACATTGACTCTTCAGGATGTTTTGGCAAAAAACCACTTAGACCTGCCAAGCTACAAAAGTCCATAAATAAACCCTCTTTCATAATCAAATATTAACATCAGCCTTCTGTAGGTTTACAGCTGCTATATGTTACACAGGACTTTGCACGCCATGTCCTTATTCAATATCACACTTTCTTCCTGGCTTCTTTTATGAGGAAAACAATGAACAGGTATAAAGTTAATGCAGGAAGAATCCAGTACCTTAGATTTTTTGGTCCTCTTGTCATCATCTTCATCTTCAGAGTGGTGGTGCTTTTTCTTCTGTTTTTTTAGCCAAGTGCGACTGACTTGTGTGAGATTCTTCTACATCCTCATCCAGCACAAGGTCATACTTGGCACTGATGGTGCTGGTTAAGGACAGACCTGTTTCCCAATATCAGTAAGGAGCAGAACAAACAGCCTGGGAAGCAAACCAATCCCTGTTTATCTGACATGAGTTCACCAAGACTGAACACATATTTCAGTCAGAACACAGTTGTACACACTTTTAAAAAAAAAATCAGCTGTGCTAAAAGGACTGAAGTCTGTCCTATTAAACAATACAGCCAGGCTGCATTCTCCTTTCTTTTCTACCTGTGGATATCTGAACAAGCTATGGTGTTTTCTCTCATGCTTACCACAAGCAAAGTATAATCTTACAGAATGATTTAATTACTAGAATGGTCTCATTTTGGATGCAGAAGGTCATCTCTGAAACTACTTAAGAACTCTGTTATGCCATATGTCATTCCAGGGCTGTGGACTAGGAACATAATTCACCTGCACACAAAATGGAAGTGAAACAGCACATTTTGATTTGACTAAATTCAAAGTGAAAACCACAAAATATTAAATTTCATCTCAAACACCAAATGGTTACATGAGCTAGAAGGCAAACATCCATTTGGCAGGCTTTAAAAATAAGAAGTTTTTTCAAGGCTGTTCTCATAAATTCTACTTAATTCAAAAAGTACCTTTGAAAAGAAAAGGATACTCTTGCTTTGGTTTTGCCTTTTCTTTCAGAGCAAATTTCGAAGGTTTGTCACGTTCCTTCTCATAGTCTTTGAAATCTTCCTTGGTATACCGCCCACCTGTCCACAAAAAATATGTTCATGTCACTTTAACCACAAACACAACCAAGACCCACAACTATCACTAAGCTCTGATGATGATTTAGGGGCTCTTTATAATCACAGAGAGCTCCAGAGCAGGCTACAGTTCCAGAAACACTGACATGTGCATAACAGACTAGAAGAGAGCAGGACAAGTTGCGATGTTCTGCCCTTCTCTTGCTTGTAGATTCCATTAAACAACACCCAGCTTTCTGCTTATTCATGTTCAGGGGAGACAACACATAAAGAGGATCACAAAGCAGGATTCAGCAACTGGCATAGTGTCATTTCTATTACAGGTCCTATATCACACTACTTAAAATTCTGTTACCATGAAAGCCCACAGACTCTTCTCATCATTAAATGATTTTTTGCTATCGTCTGCATGGAGGGAAACCTCTGAGACAGCTACAGCTCAAGAATTCAAACAGAAGACTACGACAAAAAAAGTTCACGTCTAGATTTAAAGAGGGACACAATGGATTTCAGTTTCCACTCACTGAAGCACCAATGCATGGATCAACGAACTACGGCAACGTGCTGCCCTCTCACGGCCACGCTTAGAACTGCAACACTCACTGGCTGGGCCAGAAACCACCACCGAGGATGGAAAGACATTTTTTGGGTACTATGTAAGCACAAGAGGACAATACAGTTAGCTTTCCAATATTTTGGACAATTTAGACCTCAGGTAAAGTTTCCCACGCAGGGAGTCAATGCAGGATGCACTACAGCACCTGGTACAGTCAGAATACAGAATATCTCAGCTCTGTGCAGGACAAGTTCCAGTATCTCAGTGCTCATGGTCACAACCCTCCCTGGAGAAACTGCACACTAACAACAGAGCCAACAACAAAGAGACCGCATTTTTAGAAGACCACACACAAGAATGTCACCAATGCAATGCACAGACATCTCTCCAAATCCAGTGCTCTGCTTATGCCCCCAGTATTCAAATAACCACAGTATTCACCTCTTCCACCACCCCTTTTCCTCCCAAAACATCCTCAAACATCTGAAACTGTGTTTTTGTAACATACAATCTGCCATACAGTATGTCTGACCTACAGGAGGTGAAGAGCAGAAATCCCTGGCCTGAATACTGACTTTTTCTTGTATACACCCGACTGTCACACAGCAAATAAAGAAACTAGAAAATAACAATGTATTGGCATATTATTTTGCTTAAGTAATATATTTAAAAATCATGTGCAAAATCTGAGATGAAAAAAATGTTTAATGGCAAAATTACTTTGGCTAAAAAGGTAATCAGTGGCAATGCAATGCTCATGTAACAGTAGGAAGCCCTTCTACTTTTTCTTATGAAACAAATAAAGGGAAGAACTAACAACTATGTTGGCTCTATTTATTACAGTACTAGGAACATTTATATGCCTGAAGATGAGATGATTTGAACTCCTAACTCTTTGTATAATGCTTAGTTTAGAATTCATGGCTTATTAAGTTATGAGGATTGAAGAATTGCAAATATACCTACCTTTTCCCTTCCATTTAATCTTTGCAACAGACTGGCTAAAATCCACATGTATCCGTCTGTCATCTATCAGCACATTGTCCATTTTGAAGTAGGCTTTCTCACAGTCTTCCTCCTGATATTAACCAGGAAAATCTCGAGTCATGATTGTTTCATAGGAATATTCACAGAAAAGCTCAAACGCAAATTCAACTGCTTAGTGGCATACATTTGTTTCTGAAATTGCCTAATGCACCACAGTCCTTGAATTGCAAAAGAAATAGTTATGCTTTGTCTGAATATCAGCATTTCAATTCCCAATTCTTCAGTTCATTTCAGTATTTTAAAAAATTGCCAATCCAGCTACATGTTTGGCACATGTAAGACATTCAGAAAAAAAAAGGAAAATAGAACAACTGATAAAAGTTCCATTTTCACTACATAAGTAGGCTAAAGAAGAGTGAGAACACTTTCCAGTGCTGTTCTCACAGATGAGAGATACCAGCACACATAAAGCTATGCACCATCAAGAGAACTATTGCCATCCATCTCACAGGAAGAGCAGTGTGTTGATACAGCAGGCATCATTTACAAGCCCAGAAGAGAAAACAACTGTACACATGGATCCATCTTATTCCACACACCCTCCTTTCTTTATGCTGCATGCTCCTAGCATTCCTTTCTCCAACTCTTTGAAGACTTAATGACTCTAGGGAAAAAAAGTGCCAGATCCCCTCCCACTGGTTTCAAGACAGTCTAAGTAAATTTTTGTACTGGCTGCTCAAACAGAGACAGACTTACATGCTTGCCTCATTCAGGACCTACAACTTCTGTAATTAAGTTATAGTTTCTATCAGTAAGAGAAAATATTAGCTATTCCGCACTTGAAGATATCAGTGTTTTTCCTAAATGGAAGTATACCAAAAAGGGGCTTTTACAAGCAGGATCTACATACAGTTCATACCTAAATGTCATACCTTTTCAAACTCAATGAAAGCATAACAAAGAGATTCACCAGTCTTCCAGTCTCGGATCACTTCACAACTGAAAAAAATGACATGAAATTGAAATGTCAACACTGTTGGAGCAAAAAATGTAGGGTAGGAAAGCACTGCTTAAAAGGCAGAGTACAAGTTAAAAAAATAACTCAAAAAACCCCAACCCACAAAACCTAAACACCTTGAAGGTATTAAAGCACCCAATCTGAGACTCCCTCTTGCAAGAAAAAAATGCATGAGACATTGCTTTGAGCAATTACACTGAACTCACACGTGGTTACCCTGAAGCACAAAACTAGAGATGAATTTCTAATCAATCAAACAAAATACATTTTCCAACATTACTGTTGCTTTTTAGTTTTTTGCTTCTCACTAATGCAAAACCAGAAATTTCACATTCTGCTTTCTCTGTCATGTTAAGCAAAAATTTAAACAAACATCCTGTGACAAACTTTCTCTTCTTAGCAAGCACCTCTTCAGCAGCCCAACTTTTCACCATGCAGGTCCACTGGGCAAAAATAAGAAGCCTGAAAGTATTGAGTAAGTAGTGCAAAATGGGAACAATATAGTATTGTATCACTATTACACAACTCTTGTACTGGACATAAGAATTCTGACTACAGGATGCTGAAAGAGGGCACACAGGCAACAAGGGCAGGACATGTGGCATTAAGGTGAGAATAATGTGAGACATGTAGAGAGGAAGTGACAAATCAGGATCCGCAATCAAAAGACGATCAAAGCTGAAAGAAAAAAAATCATGGGGAGGTGGGGGTGGAAAGAAAAAAAAGTAGACCGTAAGGCTATTCAGACAAGCTATAGGAATTCTTTGTAGCAGAAGGCAGAATGATTTTGTGCAAGAACCCTCCTTCATGGATTATTCAGAGAACCTATTTGAAAGTGGAAGGACTGCAAAAGTGTGACAGCTCTGACAGAGGTACAAAAAATAAGGAATCCTTATGGCATAGAGAAATTATGCTGGAGTAGTAAAAGTGGCACACAATGCCAATTTCTCCCACACACACAGACAGTGTAGTTTAGCAGACCTGTGTGCCAGCACTGCACAAACTGCTAGCAACTCTAAGCAGAACAATATTAGCATACATCTGAATAAAAAAATCATGGGGAGGTGGGGGTGGAAAGGAAAAAGTAGACCATAAGACCATAGAATAATATTAGCATACATCTGAATGCACAGGGCCTACTCTGGACCACCTGAATAAACTTAAGTGAAATGCTCTAACAGAGTCAATTTGCTCAGGTGTGCTGATGATGATAATACATTTCATGAAGTCTTTTGAAATCCCTCTGCAAATTCTAATAAGCTCTTGCACCAAAGGCTTTTGGGAAAGTAAGCAGAAAGGGCATAAGGAACATCTTTGCATCGATAAACATGCAACAAGCTAGCATGGGTTGGGTTGAACCTTAACTATATACTGTAAAAAAATCCCAAACACTCCCAAAAAACCCCAATGAAAAACAGCTTTAGCATTCACTAGAAAAGGAGTTGAGAGTAAAACAGAGAACAAAACTGTTCCACTATAAATCTGTAACTTCTCCAAAACTGTGTGCAGTTTGGGTTCTCCCATCTTGAGATGAAAATAAAATAATGGGGAAAGGACAAGAAAAGTGAAACAAGGTAATTAAGTCTCTACTATGAAGAAGCATGAATATGAGGGTTAGTGCTCTTAACAAGGAAAAAAAATAACTTTGGGGTGTAGGATAGAGGAGTGTAGAAAAGCAGATTTCATTGCCCATCCTGTCTTTTGATAGCAGTACTAGAAGGAACCAGCTGAAACTACTAGAAGCCAAGGTCAAAACTGAGAAGGGCAGCAGGAGTGAGGAACACCTTACAAGGAGTATATCAGATGCCACAGATGTTTGGTGCTTTATCTCAAACCACACATACTCCCACAGAAAAGAAAAACCCAGAGACTATCCAGCTCACTGAGCATGAGACATAAAAACTGCTGAAAGGAGTGAGAGGATGGGAGCAAAGAGGAGTGTCATATTTCTTCTTGGTTCCTACACTTTAGGCTTTCCTTAAAACCACTCCTGGGGACAGGATACTTATCTAGCTAGATCTGCCTTTGATTCCCATTGTTATGGTCTCTATCAAAACAGAGCATAAATCTCCTGAGACACCAGATTACTCCTTTACACCCCAACCTGAATGTACAGGGAGGAATCAAGTTCAGTTTGAACAAAGAAGGTTTCCTCTTTTATCATAATTACCTTTTAATGGGACCAAATCGTGAAAATATTATCTCCAGGTCTTCGCCTGTGGTCACAGGATTCAGTTTACAAACAAACAGCACATTTTCTGGTGGCTTGATGTCTGCATCTGGCAAGTCTCCCACCTGGGATACAGAAAGAAGACATTCATCACTTTGGCCTAAAGCCCTCTGTAGGTAGCACAGCACACTGGGAACGCATTTTTTGTGTGATCTCACATTCCTATCACAAAATCAAAACTTTATTAAATATTTTTGGTACTCAGTCTTACAAAAAAACCTGTTTTCTATAGCACCTAAAATTTATTATTTATTTGCAATTCCATCACTGAACTTCATGAAACTTCACAAATACGTTCTACTGTGCTTTTTCTGTTCTTAGCATAAAAAACAGACAGCTCTAAAAGGTGGAAGTGCACCCTTTTTGTCCCTACAAATCTACTGCAACATTGTGGCCAGATCTGGCTTGATCTTGGACTAAGTCTCTGCTGGCAAACTATTCACCATAAATTTGAATTTGGTAGTTGTAAGAAAGTGAGATGGATTCACTCATCTTTCAATGGTGTGTAGTTTTTATTTACTTCTCCTTTTTTCTCAAAATACAAAAACAAACAAACAAACAAAAAACCAAAACAAAACAAAGAAAAAAGAAAAAAAAAGGAACTTCAAAGCCTGTTTACAATTTTTGTTACTATGGAGTTTACCACTGTATGCACTGGGAGGAGTTTATCACAAATTAGCTCAGCTCTCTCCCACACATGCTAAAACTTTTCCAGGACTGCAGGTATTACAGCAGCATACCATGTCTGTTACATTTTTTTAATTGGATGAATTTCCAGCAAGTTTTTAGAAAGCCTCCACTGGCCCACTCTGACAATGAAGTATCACTGGTGTTATCAGAAAACCACAACATGAGTGCTCATGCTCAACCCTTTCACTGTACAACAGATTCTGAAACATGACTTCATCACCAGATAGGTAATTTCAAGATAAATAGTACATATCCTCCTAGACTTAATAACATGCACGCACAGAGGAATAAGATCTAAAAGGTAAATACAGAAAGATGTTCACCATTTCCAAAAGAATGGCACGAGTTTTTGCTTCCTTTTCTGCCTGAGCTTCTTCTATTTCATCTGCAGTCCGTCCTTTCATGTCATCAATTTCTTCATCTGCTCCTATTCTGCCACTCTGAAAAATGAAGGAAAAGGCTATTTATTACCAAGCCATGGCCAAAAACTCTTTCTCACTTTCCAACTATTACTTGGACAACCTCTTCCCTCACCCTTCAAGACACGAAAAATGCTTAAGAACTGTATGTCTGCAGAACTGGGCTTTCATTGTATTCTTCCCACTTAGATTAGAACGAAAGAAAAAAAGAGAAGATGTCATCCTCATATTTCAGGCACTGTGAACCATTTCTGAACTTCTGTCACTAGTCTGAACCATATTCAGTGAGGTATTCTAAATTCTTTTATATATACCCACCCACTCAACATCTCACAAGTGTCAACTCATGCAGATAACTCCTGCCACAAATGAAGGTAAGGAACACTGCAAATATCTTCTGTGTCTAGCAAGACATTAAATATAGCACAGCACAATAATAATTTTGGTTTTATACATCTATACCTAGGCAAAACTTGAGGTTTGTTTTTTTCTCCTCACCAGCATCTCTAGGATGCTGCCTTTCTGACAGACCTTTCTATGCTAAAAGGGGAGGATATGCCTATCCTCAGACAGGCTATGAGGGAAAAACCTCAGTACAAGTCTTCACATCTCTATGCTGCTGGCAGTGAGCTACTAAATACCTTATTCTTAACATATCTGAAGGTACATCAGAGCTCAACCACTGTGCACACATACCATGAAACCCTAATTTCAATATTGTAATTGTATCTATTAAGCTTAAAAATAAACAATCTTCTCTCTAGTTAATTAATTCATTACTTGAAACAACTGTTTCCATACAAGGGAATAATGTCACATACAAATTCTGTAACTGCATACTATGAGTAAATTATTAACTGCAATTATTTTTTATAAAATTCCTTCTGTTTGAACAAATAGCCCACAGTAGTATGTGTGCTTGCACATATAACTCTAAGAATGACCAAGATTATTTCCACTGAAACACAACCTATTCACATTTAAAAGGAAAACAGCAGTAACCATTTTAATATTAATAAATGTTATTTATATTTTGTCTTCTACCAGAGTATACAGAAAACCAGTAACACTAGCATTGAATATTCTGAATGTTCTTCCTATCTACACTGTAAATAGAAACCTAAAATACAGCTTTCAAACACATTTCCATTGGAGCCACAGGGGAGAGCACCCAAGTCATGCTTTTATCCTTCTCTTGAAAGTTAAGCAGCTGTATTTGATTAAACACAGCAGCAGCTCCAAATAACCAAGAAGCATTTGACATATCAGAACTCAAGCTGGCACTGTAGAAGAACACCTCCTGCATGGAAAAATGTGTAGCTCTTTTAGGACACAAATTTGAGACACAAAATCTTGAAGACTGATTTCTTATTTTGGCCAAATCTGTGTTGGACACTAATTGAGATAAACTTATTTAATTATTTCTTCCAACTTTTCCCTGTTGCGAACACTCACGTCAAGCTGTTCCTTTGTAGGTTCTGGTGAGCGATCAGGAACACACAAGCCAGGGGGGTCATCAAAGGGATCATCTAAAATTACTGTATGATTTATCCTTAGGGGAAACAAAATCACGATCAGCATTGGCTACATGCAAGTAAAACTTAATTTACCCACCCAACAGCACACCAGCCCCACTAAATCTCAGTTGTATCCCAAACAGCAAAATATCCTGTGCGCTTGTAAATTCTGGCACTGATGCTTTTGGAAGGACAACCTGGCTAAATATTTTTGTACATACTTGTTTATTTAGTACTTGTTAACACTGGGGGAGAAAAGGATTTAAGATAGCACATACAGGTCAACTGACATCATGATATTAATCTAGTTTCCACAAAGAAGTAAATTCATTTAATAGCAATGTATTCCTCAAAAAGTAGAGTTAAAAGCAGTCACACCTGATATCTTGATATGGGATAAAATCCTTATCTACAAAGGTTTCATTAATTGTCTTCAACACATCCATGCCTTCCGTCACTTCTCCAAATACTGTATGTACACCATCAAGGTAGTCCAGGTTTTCCCCTGTGGTAATGAGGAACTACAAAAGAAGATACAAAACTAGAAACAGTAAATAGAAAAATTCAGGTTACTTTTTTTTTTTTTTTACCTTAACACACTCTCACAAAATTCAGTGGGGGAAAAAAAGCCTCTTCCCATTTTTTGTAGAAGACTGCTCTGAGAATGTGGTGAGCCAATGTACAGCTCAGAGCCATTGCCTGAGGAAATCTCCTCTGCAGGAGCCCATGGATGCAGCTCACACGAGTCTTCTGTGAATTGGTAATTGGGCACAAGGGCATTGGAGGAACAGAGATCTCTGCTGGGGAGGTGTGGTGAGCAAGACCAGCACTGGATGTGACTGGCATCACAGCTGATGAAAGGGAAAGGACAGAAAGAGCAGCATTTGGCAGGTATTTTTTCATAAATTTGGCAAAAACTCCCTAGTACTATCTTCACCTATCTCCCACAGCACTACTTTTACCTACTATCTTTACCTATTCTATCCAGACCTTTTTCCTTTCTTCCCACAAACCTTGTCTCCTGAAAAACAGGATGCAGTAGCATTGAGAGAAGAACTAGCACACACTGTCTTAGATCAGCTTGAGCTGGTACTGGAAAGTATCTTATCACAAACGAGATCTTTCACCTTAAGGTAAATCTGAAACTATGAAAACTGATACCAGCTGAGACTTTAATAACAAATTATAGAGGGCACTTGGTAATGGAGGAGGGAGGAAGAGGCAGATATGCACAAATAAGAGGACACAACTGCTGCACCCACACTTCACAGTCTGACTGGTAACATCCTCATTCTCTCTGCAACACAGTTAAGATTGGTTAGTATTTGGTAAAGGTTACACTAAGCTACACTATATTTGTAAGGCAACTCCATGTAGTTCCTTTCTGGAATTTTTCTTTCCCAAGGAAGAAGCTACAGTAACTGCTGTTCCTGGGAACAGCACTCATTCCCACGCACCTGCATATACACTAGCAGGCTGCATCTTAAATATAAATACAGATGTCATCTCTTTTTCCTAAATACCCCAAGCATGCCATTTTATATATATGCAATGCAGGGAAGCAGCATAACGACCCGTATATATTACAAGCTCTAGCTCAAATAAAATCCTACCTTTTTTTAAATTGTTCTTTGATTATTAAAAATCCCTCTTTTTAAAAATTAAAATATATGGATATTAAAAATGAGGCATTTTAATTCATGTAAGTGACGTAATGCACCTAAAATAATAATAGTTCAGAAATAATAAGTGTTCTATGAGCTTTAAAAACAAAAAAACCTTACAAAATAAGTAACAAGAATTACCTACAGCAAAATCTTTGGGTGCATGAACAGCAAACAGCAAAGAGAACAAGACCACTTTCAAAAATATACCAACACTGGGTAAAACTGCAAACTTACATTATTAACGTACTTTCAAGTAACCATACAGGAGAAACTGTGACATGATTACAATTTCCAAACTAACACAAAGCCATGACCAGAAAATGTCAGTATTATTTCAAAACTCAATTTCCTTAACTTTCACTCCCATTTAATGACAGATTTTTTCCTCTGGCTATTTTTAACATTAGCAAAATCAGATCAAAGAATTAACATAGTGCTGACCTGTGATCCATGCTGATCACTGCCATTGTTCACCATTGACACAGTTCCCTTCTTCTTGTGCTTGATTCTGGGCACCTTTTCTGCTTCAAAAAATCTGGCTTGATCACCATACAGTTGACTAAATAAGATATATAACAAATATGTTACAAGAAAAAGGAATTTGTAAAAGTGAGCTAATCAAATATTTTAAAACTGTAAACGGTATCTCAAAAAATTTTTACATTTCACATTTATATTAGGTCTTCAAATAAACCTATATTTTATGAACATATTTATGGACCTGTACACTTCCATAGTTTATAATGCAAGGAACAATAAATTTTTCTCTGGACATTTCACAGAGGCTTTTTGGGGGATGGGAAGGGTATACTTATATATTCTTAAGTATAATATGTAACATTTTTCTGGTGCATGAAGGAACTATACATTTTAACTAGGTTCTGCAAAAATAAATTATTCCACACTGTAGAAATGCAGCTGTTTACATCAAAAATTTATCTCCCAAGAAAAACAGAAAAGCAGTATATCTATATGCAAAATCAGTTCATCCTACAGACAGACTTCATACAGTAATTTGGGATATACAGGATATAGCACATTGTTGCATTCCTTTTAATTTTTTATGTCTAACTCTGCTATCACTTATTTTGTCTCACTCCACAGACTGACAGATGCATGATCAATAACCATGTTTGCACAAACGTAAGGATAGTGCTGTGTTTAAACTCATTCTGCTAAGCAGGTGCTAGCCTCTCTGAAGAGAGGATTCAAATTAAACTTTGCCTGCAAGAACAGGAACTCCAGTTTCATGGACTGCAGCAGAAACAAACAGGTACAAAAGACAAACTGACCTTCTCCATGCTATTGCCAGACAGGATCTGACACTCTCTCATCACACTGTACTTCCCAATTTGTCTTAGAAGATTTGTAACGTATCAAAATAAACTTAATTTACTTGTGTGCAGAGACAGGCAAGTCTGGCAAGTTTACCTACCCAGACTTGCATCTGCTTAGCACAGGTACACTGCTTCCAGGACCACTGGAGTGGTGATTCATGGATCCTTGAGCTCCAGGTTTTGTATTTAAGAGGCTCTGACAGACTGACTTACAAAAGCAAACACTACTCTAGAAACACTGTCTCTGTTCCAGCTGAACTCTTTCATTGCTGTATATTGTGCTCCCCAGCATCTCCCTGGTAAATAGTTCTGCTCTGTAATTTTAATTCTGCTTTTAATAACTATTTCAAACTAATCATACAGAACATGTGCACTTTAACTCCATCCTAGCTGTCTGAATGATTCTCTCAACTCTTGTCTCTGTGACCACCAAAAACTTGAACAAATAAGAAAAGTGATTTCCTCATAAACATCCAACATGTTTATGTTATATAAACATCCAAAGCAAACTCAAGTCAAAAACTTGAACAAACAAGAAAAGTGATTTCCTCATAAACATCCAACATGACTAAAGCAAACTCAAGGAGATCACTTTCTTATACAAAGAGGAAATCAAGCATAGCCTCTATGCTCCAGTCATGCTCAATTTAGTACATTTTGTTATAATAATAAATGTATTCACAATCGTAATTAATTCTGTCTTCTACAGAGCATTTAGTCATGATACTTTTCTTACCATAGTTATATTGTGCTAAGAAAAGTATCACGACTATAAAGAAAAGTATTGTAGCCATAGATACTTCTTCTAAACACAGTTATTTGCCAGCTTTTAAACAGACAGAAATGTTGTTACCTGTAACTTCAGCTCTAAGGCCAAAGAGAGAACAACATCCAGGAAAAAACCAATGAATTACAGCATAGAAATTAAAAAGGTATCTAAGTATGAAAACCAAAGACGCTTATGCATCAACATTTTTACTTCCCACCAGTAATTCTGCCCCCAAAAAAGCTGAAGACAATCTAACTGGAAGTCCTACTCCCGTACACAAACTCTCTGTTTAGATATATATATGTAGATATATACACATGTATGTATCATTTTTATACATAAACACTTACCAAAATATGGATTCCCCTCCACGACCAGTTCCCATGGGGTCACCAGTTTGTATAATAAAATCCCTCTGTCACAAAGGAGAATACATAAGATATTGCTTTTATGTTTGTGAATTTAAACCAACCAAAACCCAAGGAATTGAGAATACTCACCTGTACATTATAAATAAGGCAATAGTTGTAGTACTTGACTTTGCAGAGCTTCAGGAAATTCAGACAAGCTGCAAGAAATCACAGCAACATTTACAAAGGAAACTCCGGATACAATTAGAATAGATGCAGCAGAGCCCTGGTTTAAGGCGCAGAAAGGTGGTTTTGGAGCAGACTGTATCGAGACTTGTCAGGCTACAACCCCTGAACGCTGAGAGAAATGCTCCAAAGAGACGCACCATTTCCTCCCTGCCTACAAACCATCTCCAGCGATTCAAAGAACCCTAAACACGGCTAGTTATTCAGAAGCAGTTTCTTTTCAAACCCTTGAGAAAGGAGCTGACGGCAGCCCTTCGGTTTAGCAGACATTGCATTTGCGGCCGCAAGCGCTGACGGCGTCCCCCCGGCCTCCGTCCCGAGCGAGGCCGCCACCCGCCCGCCAAGGGGAAGGCCGCTGCCGGGGGGCTCAGGGCCGAGCCCGGCGCGGGCGGGGGCCAGGGAAAGCCGGTGCGGCTCGGCTCGTACCGCGGGGCCGCTCCTCCGTGTACAGGTCGATGACCAGGTCGCCCACCGTGGTCTCCAGCAGCACCGCCATGGCCGCGCGCACCGCGGCCCGCCCGCGGCTGGCGCGCCCCCTGGCGGCGCGGAGGACCCCGCGAGCCGGGCTGTGCCCGCTGTCCTGAGGGAGCGCGCCGTGGTAAACGAGGAATGTGTAACAGTTAAGGCGAGATGTTTTTTGATATGTAAGATCCTGGTAAGCTTTCAGACAGAACAATTCGGCTGCAAAAGACCTCCCTCTGAGATGGAGCCCAAGCTGAGACATAACTGGCACACCCAGTCGTTCCTTAAATACCTCCAGGGACGGTGAATCCACCATTTCCCTTGGGCAGTCCTCAGCCCAGTCAATAATCTTGTAAGCTGCCGAGTCATGTGAACTGTTGTGGCCAAGCACAAGAAGCTGGATTTACAATCATGAAAACCTGACAGACCCAAGCGCTTCCCACCGAGAGACATAATTCCCCTGTCCTCCTCACACAGCTGCTGACCGTGAAGCATCTACTTAGTGACTTAGTAAAATCAATGAGGAGCAGGCGTCAGCTAAGGACTGCAAGGAGTGGAAACATTTAAAAAGGAAGATATTTGGAGTGTGACCCATCTGTTCAGTTATGCAAGGTGCATGGAAATAATGAGATTAAGTTAATTCTGGTTCACTAGATAGAGCTTCCCAAGTATCTGCTTTACTTAGTGCCCTTCTAGGTTGCTGTAAGGCCCCAAAACTCTTGCTTAAGGAGTGCAGGCAGTCCACTCAGTCTCTTGTGCCACATGCTGGTAAGAGCCACACATTACAGGAACAGGGACACTGCCAGCTTGAGGTCAAACTGCGTGCCTCAGGTGCCCTGGTGCCCAGGGTGGTGGAGGAACCCTGACAGCAGCGGGACAGGAGGATCTGCTGACACCCCGAGGAGCTGGGCAGGGCACCCCACGCCCGCAGAGCTCCCATCTGACACAGATGATGTGTTCCTGTGCTGTGCTGCACAAGCATGCTGGCACGGCACTGCTGCTCGTAGGAAACGCTACAAACCCTGTTTTTTCTGAGGCATGTGCAGACTTTAGCTCATGCCTTGCAGGCCCACAAGAATATCTGTGTGGTGTTCTTTGTTCTGGTGCTGCATGTGCTCATAGCTTACTCTCTCAGGCTGTACAGGGGTGCTTGCCTTTTCCTATTCTTCAAGTTTCCCCTTGGAGGCTATGCATTGTTTCCAAACAGGATTTGTCACAAGCTGAAGGAAGCCACCACTCTTTTCAAAATCGATGCAGTATATATCATATCTATGTGTCAAGCTCAGCATCTGAAACACATAAATAAACACAGTGTATTATGAGCAAGGGCTTATATGCTAGGACTTGGTCCAGAACCCGGTGAAATAAATTTGATATTTTTTTGCTAGGCATTTCAATAAAACTGTTGTGTAGGCAAAAAAAAAAATCATCAATATAAAGTCTAACTTCTTTTCATTGTCTGATATGCTCTGTCATATTCCCAAACCAGTGTGAAAAAGCCAGATAGAGGGGTTGATAATGAAGCCTTCTCTCCCCTGTCCAAGCTATGAGCAGGTAAGGAACACTTCGTTTGCAGCCTCCTTGGCAGCAGAGCAAGTGATGGGCTGTCACCCAGGTTCCTGGAGGGCTGGGCTGAGCTGAGCCACAACAGGGAATAATGGCATGGGCTGGCATGGGCAGCTGTGCCAGGGACAGTTTTCGTTGCTCACCTTGGCCACAGGGCTTGGTTTTGCCCCCACTCCTGAGCACTACCTGACAATGCAAGGAAAACGGTGCTCATGAAAGGCCAGGAGGGAGGCTTGGGGCTGCTGACGCCTTCCCTTCCAGAGCCACCGAGGCCCTGGCTGGAGGACAAGGACATCTGAAGGACCTGTGGACCACGCAAGAACCTGTGGCCAGGCTGTGCAATGGGGAGGGCTCAGACAGAGCCTCCAGGGCTCCCCCAGGAAAGGTGGGGGCACGCTTGGTGAGCCATAAGGAGAGCCGCCATCCCTGGCCCCTGAGAAGAGCTGCGGGCACCAAACCCAGAAGCAGAGCGTGGGAAACACCCCTGTGGGGGCCCACCCAGCAAAAAGCAGTGGAAAGAAACGTGCAGGGATGTGGTGCTGTGGGAATAACAGCAACCAAGCTGTCCTGAAAAGATGGTGTCAACCACATGGCAAAGCTGTTCCACAGCAGCTAAGAGAGGGCCACTCTCTCACCAAGTCCAGCAGGAAACCAGCACCTCCCTGCATATGGGCAGTGAAAAAGCAAACAAACACCAAGTTTCTACCCCTCAAACCTCAATGAATCCTCACAGTCCCCCTCTGAAAGGTTCTCATATTCCACAGACTCTAACAGACTAATAACATGTGCTAAGAGTAAAAATATTGAAGGAGTGTCACACAAGGGTTACAAAATTGCACAACAGTCTAAGAAGTTGTCCTAGATGGCAAGGCAATAGGTATTGTATTTGCCATCTGTTAGAGGTGTGGAAGTTACCTTCTGTTAATTGGGCAGTTTTCTTTATCTCTTCCACAAGCCAATCCTCCCTCAGGGGAGACATCTGCTGTTAGTGGGCCACTGAGTGTCACTGCATGACTGATAAAATCACAGCATCCCATTATAAGGTGCTCTGCTCAGAGGGAGGAACCAAGCATTAGTAGCTGGATATAATCTGAGATTTTGGGACACCAGAGCAGCCTTTCCACTGGATTTCCCACAGGAACAGCTGCCTTTTCCACTGGATCTTCAGAGGAAGACTACACCCTTCTACAGAACTACTGCTCCAACAGAACCACACCTGGCACTCCAGGAGGACTGCAGCCACCATTCCAATTGGACTGCTACCAACACCCTGACCAACAGGGTGTCAGGTTGTATTCTGACTCTGTCAGTGTTGTTTTGTATAACTGCATTGTTTATTTTATTTTTAAAATTTTCTTCCCTAATAAAGAACTGTTATTCTTGCTCCCATATCTTTGCCCAAGAGCCCCCCTTAATTTCAAATTCATAACAATTCGGAGGGAGGGGATTTACAGTTGCTAGTTCAGGGGAAGCTCCTGACTTCCTTAGCAGACACCTGTCTTTTCAAACCAAGACAGAAGTATGTCTTAGAACTCACAGTACAATATTTATTATTGTCATTTATGCTAGCTAAAACAAAAATTAATGAGCCTCTGATAACTGAATCTGTTACAGTTACTAAGAAGATCTTATGCTTCTGTCTCGGACATGGGCTACAGTGCCCATCTATTAAAGAGATCCTAGAACATATTTTAATAAGTTTTCTCATTATATTTCTACTTGTAATATAGCTAGATCGACCTGGAAGATTCTAAGAATATAATCATCCTAACATTCTAGATCTAGATCTAGACTAAAGCATACATAGAACATTAATTTAGAAATATCATAAGCAAACTTCGGTCGCAAAATTATTTTTAACTGAGAATTTGCCACCTGTCATCATTTAAAAAAACCCAAAAACCTAAAAGTCATCTGTTAATATTGCTTGCACTGTTACCATATTGAGAAGAAAATTTAAATACCTATATTTCTTCAATTGTTCATAAGTTGTTCATGTTAAAAATTTTGGTTTGCACTAGATATTAACATAAGCTTGTTTTTTAAAAAATAGAAAACAAAGAAAACCTCTGAGAAAAATATATTCATATACAAACTTCACAAAAGTTAAACCCTTTTTCGTTTGAGATAAACGAGAAAGCCTCATCTGGAAGAGGTTCCTTCACGTCCTCATAGTGAAAAAGAGACCCCGTCAGCAACCCCCTACCTTACTAATACTGTTCAAAGCTCCTATTTTTAGTTATTAATACAAAGCAAAAAAGGGGAAAAAGGTTGGGTGAATGTACAATCCCACCTTGAAGTCTTAGGTAGTATCATGTTCTCATGTCTTTGAACCAATCATGTAACAGCACAATAATCCTATGATATTCAGCTGCCTAAACCAGCTGATAAATGTGTTTCAATGGACGCTGGAACACGCTGGATACATTTGCTTATCCTGATGTCCCCTCAACAAACATCACAAGGACCTATCCCATGGAAATCCAAGACTCTTAAAGTGTCAGTTCATATAAGAGCTTGATTTGTTTACAACTTATGTTTCCTGTTTATGACCTGCTTTTCTGTTTACAGATTATTTTCTCTAGTAGTTGGGTTTTTCTCTAAGGGATAAATGGTTTAAAAGTTAAATAGTTTCTTGGTTTTAGAGATAAGTTGTAACCTATAAGCACTAAGCCTGTGACCGATGCTAACCTGAGCTCTTGCCTGGCAGATTGTGGATGTGAATGCTGCAGCTCCAGTGCAAATTAGACCCACGCTCGTTTCTTGGTTTTAGAGATAAGTTGTAACCTATAAGCACTAAGCCTGTGACTGATGCTAACCTGAGCTCTTGCCTGGCGATTGTGGATGTGAATGCTGCAGTTCCAGTGCAAATTAGACCCACGCTGTCTTCTGTCACCCCATCTGCAAAGGGGCCTTGCAGATGGGTGACGGAGAGCAGATGACAAATGTTATAAAGACAGAAGGGTGAGAGGTTGCCATGCCCCAGGGCAGGCTGGCTGGCGCTGTGTGACCGCCCCGGCCCCTGGGCTGACTCTGCAGATGGGTGACGGAGAGCAGATGACAAATGTTATAAAGACAGAAGGGTGAGATGTCACCATGCCCCCAGGGTGTGTGACCGCCCCGGCCCCTGGGGTGAGTGACAGCGCCCTGGCCCAGTCCCAGCTCCGCAGCATTTCCCGGGCCAGAACCTGAGGGGGCGTGGAGACCAGACCAATGAAAGTATCTGGACTGGGCTTTTCTAATGCCCTTTATAAGGAAGGGCTGAGGAATACACTCTCTCTGTTGCCACGTGAAGATCTGGGTGAGTGGTCTCTTTGTCTCCTGCCCACTTTCCGCCCTGAGTCAGTGCAGCAGGTGTCCAGCAGCCTTTGGAAGGTTCTGGAAGGCTCTCTGCAGTGCTGGCAGTTGCTGCTGCATCTGGAGGCTGCACTTGCAGCCCGGTGCCTGCGCTCTGGCTGTGACGGTAACTAAACCTCAGCCCCTTGCTCC